GAGCTCCCCACAAAGAACAGAGGAGACCCTACAGAGCTTTACCCCTGTGGTCAGTCCTGGGAACAGACAGGAGTAGCATCTCCTTTGTTTTAGTATGGAATGTTCCTTCCATGCTTCATTCTGAATATTCACCCATATTCCAGGCATAGTCTTTCCTTCTGACCTGAGGGCACACTACTCAGACCAAGGTCCTAACCTCCCTGAGACCCCCAGGGAAGAAGTGAGAGTATGTAATTTCTGGCTCCTTCTGCCCAGGGCCTCCAGGACTGCCCAGAGTAAAGACCCATTCTCTTATGTTACAAATGAATCAACCTGATGTATATTCCATGTTCCTCATTGTCCACAGGCCTGCATCTGGTGTTATTGAGGATTGGAACAGCTTCCTCAAAAACTGGTTTGAAAAAACTTATGAAAACAAACAGCATAATTTGTTTATTGAAACATGGAGAAATGATCTGAACAAATCTTTATTGAAGAAACTATACAAATGGCAAATAAATTGGAAAGATGCTTTACCTCAATGTCATCAGGGAAATGAAAATTAAAACAATGATGAAATACCAATACATACCTGTTAGAATGGTGAAAATTCAAAACACTGACAACACCAAATGCTGATAAAGATGTGGAGCAACCGGAACTCTCACATTGCTGGTGGGAATGCAAAATGGTAGAGCCATGGTGGATAAGAAACTTGGCAGTTTCTTATCAGACTAAATGTACTTTTATTCTGTGATCTGCAGTTGCCCTCTTCAGTATTTACCAAGGAGGTGGAAGCATAGGTCTACACAGACAGCTGCACACAGATGTTGATATCAGCTTTCTTCATAATTGACAAAACTTGGAAGCAACCAAGCTGTCTTTCAGTGGGTGAATGGATAAATAATATGTGGTACAGTTAAATAGTGAAGTATTGTTTGGCATTGAAAGGAAATGAACTATCAATCCTTGAGAAGACATAGAGGAACCTGAAATGACTATTATTGAGTGAATCTGAAAAGGCTACATAACATATTATTCTAAGAATATGACATTGTGGAAAGGCAAAACTATGGGAACAGTAAAATGATTAGTGGGTACTAAGGTCTGAGGGTAAATAGGTAAAGTGCAGAGTATTTCGGTATAGAGGAATATTACATGTTATACTTTTGTCCAGACTCACAGAATGTACAACACAAGAATGAACCCTAATATATAAAGTATGGTCTTTTAGTGATAATGGTTTGTTAAGTACAGGTTCATTGATTAAAATAAATATACCACGCTGGTTTGGGATTTTGATGGGGTTGGGGATGAGGCTGTATGTGTTTAGGAAGGGCAAGGGAGTATAAAAACTTTGTACTTTCTGCTCAATTTGCTGTCAACTTAAAATTTTAAAAAATTAATGTGTGTGTGTGTGTGTGTGTGTGTATGTAAAACAACTTCTGGTGTTACCTTTCTTGCCTTTTCCTGATTCACATGTCTGAATAAGACAATTTGGTCAGTGAATGTGGCTGTCCCTCTGTGGACAGGTATTCAGTTTCAACAAGAGCCCAGGAAAAGGTAATATTCACTTTTCAAAACCTGTTATCCCTGTTTGGGAGATGAAGAGTCCAAAACATCAAGGGGCTCTTCTTGGGTGTGAAGCTGCCTCCCTTTGTTACAGGTTCCAGTCAGCAAAATCATGAGTGACTTGGAGCTCCAAGAAGTCATTAGGACTATGAGGCCCCAAAGGTAGTCTAGGCACTGATTGTCACTGATATTTCTTCAATACTAGGCCTTCAGATGAAGAATGGGGCAGAGGCTGGAGCTAGTAATTTGGCAAGACCTAACAAAATTTGATGTGTATACCCCGCTATCAAACAATTATTTCTAGGTATACCTTAGGGAAGCATTCAGAAATGTTCATTATAGCAGTGTTTGCAGTAGTGAAAAGTGGAAGTAAATTAAGCATCATTTATACACTGTGCTTCCCTCGGTAGGAAGCACAGTGTATAAATGATAGTGTCTTGAAATAATGCAATAGAACACAGCAAGTAAGATAGATGAGCCAGTTCTATATCTAAATATAGGGATAATTCTCAAAGCAGGATGTCAAAAGAAGGATAAGTTTAGAAAGATATATTCAATATGATTCCATTTATCTAAAGTCTAAAGCACAGAAATTGAACATTGCTACGTATAGAAAAAGTATGAAATATGTACAATGGTATGTACCTTAGGGTAATGCTTAGGATGAAAAGGGAGAGAAAGCGGTGGGGGAGTCTCTAGTTCTGACTGTAATGGTTAATGTATTAATAATACCTTATTAAAATAGTAACCAAAATTCATAATTCTTAAATAAAAAAGATAAAGCTATAACATAATGCACATACATCATTTGTTTAATCTTGGTGATAAATTTTGAGGTTCTATATTGATTTTTGTACTTTTCAAAAGATTTGAAATATTTTATGTCCCAAAAAACAAATAGGGAGAAGAACATTCATTCCAGTCAGAGGCTGATTTTGTAAGGCCCTGAGTATCAGGGAAGGACCGAATGAGTACAGAGAACTGAGGGGAAAATGCTGGATGGCTGGAGTGCAATTCTTCTGAGAGCAAGAGTTTCATGAGATGAGGCTGGAGAGGGAAATGGGATCTTGATTTTCAGGGCTTGGTTGTTCACAATTATGGATTTTGATCTAATGGCATTGGTAAACTACCAATTTGAGAGAAATCAAATATTGGGCTTAAATTCCTGTGAGAGAATCAAGTGAAAATATAGAGTACATAATGTGGGTATGAACTTTTGAGATTAAAAAAAATGTTCTGGATGAGGAATATAAATATAGGAGTTGGCATCAAATTGCTGATATTTGAAGCTATGAAAGCATCCAGGAAGAGCACATAGAGTGGGAAGATAAGGGGGCTAAGAACTGAACACTTAGGAGTCCTTGTGTTAAAGGCTGAAGAGCAGGGAGAGGATCTAGTGGAAGACTGAGCAGTCAATAAGATAAGAGGAAGGCAGATGGTTAGGAAAATAGTTTTAGAGCTGGGGAGGATATCTCAAGTGTACTGAAAACCATCAAGAGGTTAAGTTGAGTGCTTTGTCCCAAACACAAACCAAGAACATATTTCACAGTTATAGAGAGGGGTTGTCTTGAATGTGAATTAACTTGTCTTTGTATTCTATTTACCGTTGTGAAGATTTTAATTATTAAGTATTATGGTCTTCATAAAAGTTTACTTACATGAATATATACACTTACAGACTTAGAAACTTCCTAGATCTCGTGTAGGAATTATTGAGGATAGCTAGGGCAAGCTGTTTGTAGCAGGTAAGTCTTAAGTATTAATTAGGCTTTTCCATTGGAATGAAATTTTATTGGTGTGTTTTGTACCTTATATTTACTTCTTTTCAGATCATTATAAAATGTGAATACAATTCACTATTTTATCCATTTTTAAGTGTACAGTTCGGTGGCGTTAAGTATATTCACATTGTGCAGCCAATACGATCCATCTCGAGAACTATTTTCATATTCCCAAACTCTGTACTTACTAAACAGCAACCGTCACTCTCACATCCTCCCAGCCCTTTGCAACCTTATTCTACCTTCTATTTTTATGAATTCATCTACTCTGCTTTAGATCCTTTTATGAATATAGTTGTACAGTACTTGTCCTTTTGTGATTGGAGTATTACACTTAGCAGTTTCCTCAAGGTTCAATCCATGTTGTGGTATGTGTCAGAGTTTCCTTCTTTTTTAAAGCTGAATAATATTCCATTATATGTATATACTGCATTTTGTTTATCTGTTTATCTGTTGACAAATTCTGAGTTGCTTCCACATTTTAGCTAAAGTGAATAATGCTGCTGTGGACATTGGTGTACAAATATTTGTAGAGTCCTCAATTTCAATTATTTTGAGTATACGGTATATACCTAGAAGTGCTAAATCATATGGTAATTCTGTTAATTATTTTAAGAATATTGTTTTTTATAATACTGTATTGATCTAATTGATTCACAGAAGCTTCATCATTTAACATTCCCATCCGCAATATACAATGGTCCCATTTTAACCACATCCTACACTTATTATTTTCTTGGAGTGTGTTTTGTTTGCATTTTTGTTTTGTTTTTTTTTTTTTTGTATTAGTCATCCTAATAGGTGTGAGGTTATATTGCCTTGCAGATCTGATTTGTGATTTCCTAATGATTAACAATGCAGAGCATCTTTTCATTTTCTTTTTTAGCCATTATATATCTTTGGACAAATGTCACCTCTGGAAGTACCGAATTTAGATTTTATTCTGACACAGCTCATATGTCTTAATATAGACTTTTTGGAGTATCACCAATTCTTGGTTATTCTCTTTTCTTGAACAAATTGCTTGACTTAGAATCTAACATACATGCAAAGACAGAAGAGAGGGGAAAAATGCCAAGTCATACCTTTGAAAAATGGGCCATATAGAGAAGCAATTTCTTGCCATTTTGTTTTAGTTTCATATAAAGTACTGAGTATATTTTGTTATCCTTTCTTATTATTCTACAGTATACCTAAAAATGCTCCTGAATGTTTCATTAAAATGTCTGGTCAGCCAGAAGAGATATATTTAAACAGTTGTACCCCCAATGAAGTTGTTTCTGGATAAAGAACATGTGAAGGATCATTTTATTTCATTTCCACAGTATTTTTCTTTTGTTCCTAGTCACAGAGTCGTTGAATAAAAATGTTAGTTTTATTGCTTATAGTGCATTCACTTACCACACAGGCACAGAACCATTTATGTTCACTTAGTTAAAATTCTTTTCGAAACCAAGTCTCTGAGAGTGATCTGTTAAATCTAAGTTACATAGCTCATTTGTGCATAGATAGCACTGAGAGACATCTCTTGTTTCTACTCATTGCCAGAATGTTGTAGTGTCTTGTAAGCAGGTGAATTTTTTCAAGTAAATATTTCAATTGGCTCTCTGCTTGAGTCTTGTCTTTTTTTTTTTAAGCAGAACTATATCTACCTGTTTTCTTTAACAGTTGTTTCGAGAAGTAAGAATAATGAAGATACTGAATCATCCTAATATAGGTATGCAATTTATATATACAATTAATGACAAAGTATTATCCTTAATTTGAGGGCATTTGAAAAGGTCCAATGTTAAGGATGCTTTATATAAACTGAAAAAAAGTGATAACCTGGGAAAGTGATACATTGTATAAAAAAAGATGATAAGGAAGTTAACTGAAGATTACAAATTATGTTTTTTACTATCTTGATGTCTTCTGCTTATCACCAGAATAATTGGTATAACTTGGAGCTAATACATACAAATATTTTTTATCTCCTTACTAAATCTGGGTACAGAGAGATTGCATATCATTTACATGTTTATAAAATATGAATTCCAGATATTTTGATAATATGCACTTGAGTGCATATTATCAAAATATGATAAGCAAAAGAACTTTGCATTTTAAAGAAATGCTTACATTCAGTTTTAATGGATTTGGTTTTTGTGAGTTCTGATTTTCTCCATCTTTACAAAAAAATTTTATAGATCAGATATATTATTATACATAATTGTAAAAAGTAAAAAACCATGGTAGTGCATGCTTATAATCCCAGCAGCTTGAGGGCCTGAGACAGGAGGATGGTGAGTTTAAAACCAGCCTCAGCACAAGCAAGGCATTAGCAACTCAGGAAGATACTGTCTCTAAATAAAAAACATGAAATAGGGCTGGGGATGTGACTCGGGGGTCAAGTGCCCCTGAGTTCAATCCCTGGTATCCTCCCTGTTATTTAAAAATCTGTTTATTTTTATACACTTGTTTCTTGAGCATTTAGAAATCTTATTTGTATATAGCTATTGTGATTATTTGTGGTGAAGACTTTCAACTGTGTAAGTCTTATTTAGTTTTTTTTTTTTGCCAGACACTTTTATAGTATCATATAAATTTAGATTTTTTTTTGTATCAAAGCTCGCTTAGTTTTTTATGAGACCTCATTACAACATAGTCTGTTTTTAAGCTTTGGTTAAACTTTTATATTTCTGATTTTTAAGATTTCACTTTTATTAACTTACTCTTAATTAGAAAAGGTAATTTTTTTTAATCTTAGAAACTTTTTTCACTTAAGAAGTTTGGGCATATACTTTTCTTCTGTAGGAGTAATACTCTTGAGAGACTTTTTGAGTTTCAAGTTGTAGTTTCAAATGTTTACTAAACATTTTTAGCAAATACTCCAATTTTCCACTTGTTTAGTGTTACATTAGATTTGCTTAGCATATCCATTCTGTGCTAACAATCATAAAGTTATATCTTTAATTTTTTTTACAGTGAAATTGTTTGAAGTTATAGAAACTGAGAAGACTCTCTATTTAGTCATGGAGTATGCAAGTGGGGGTAAGAAATGAGGGGGATTGAAAAGTTCCCTTTAATGACACAGAATTAATAACACCTAACAGTTCAGCATGACATTTGCTTTCAGTGTTATAAACCAATCTATAATTTATTAAAATACCTTTAAATTATAATCTTAAGGAAAATTCAGTGTTTGTTTTCAAGACCTTTTGGTCCTATATTATAAATAGAAGTTTTGGCTTATTTAAAAAATACTTAGGGACTTTTTTTGTTTTGGAATCTTTTGACTGTTTTGATTTGCATATTTAAATACAATATATTATAATATGATTAGGAACTCTTGGCTCTAAATAGAATCTCAGTACAGAAAATACTGACATTTAATCAAGTCTATAGTAAAAGTATGTTTGAGGTCAGATGTTTATTTCACTGACTGTTCACATGTGACAGATTTTTCAATTTATGTACTTTTCCAAAATAATCCATAAAATGTTTCAGTTTAAATAAGTATCAATCTATATATTTTATATTAGAGCACTGCATTGACAAGGAGATAGAAAAGATACATATGTAGATTTTTAAGTGCTGAGATATAATAGAAAATCCCATTTATTTTCTTCGTATAACAATACATTGACTCAAAATTATTATTATTAGGACTTCTCTGGAATTTATTTAAAATTTATGGAATTAAATCATTTAACAAGTAAAAACAAAGAGTACCTAAAGAAACATTTTGAAGACCTAGAGAACTTAAGCAACTGGAAAAGAAAGGATAGCTGAAATTACTTGGTTGTTTAACTTTTTGTGTTCAACAGAAAAACTTAGTGTTTAACTTAATATTTAGTCCTTTTAACTTGTAAAGTTAATAGATTTTATGGTGATGCTCTAGTCTGTAGCATGTATACTATATATTTTTATATGGTCTCAAATTTCTAGGAATTTTACTATAAATATTAAACATACTTGATTACATTTTCAGTGATTTATACAGATTAGATGTTTTAGTGGATTTGCTTTTTATTAAACTTTTTCACTCTGAAAATATTTTGCTCTAGATTTTTTTTAATTTAACATGAAAATATGGGTCAGTAATGCTTATTATTACTGGATTTTTATAATTTATTATTTATATAGTCATGCATATTTGCATAAAACAGATCTATAATAAAAGTAATAAACCTGCAAATATCACATAGTGAATTTTTATTTTTCTATCCTTTAGTTAGATATGAGAACCTGGGATGTTATTTTTAGTTCATTTAGACTATTTTTTTTTTTTTTTAGGAAAAATAGTTTGGGGCTAGACATGCTTTGAAATGAGAAATTATAGGGCATTAAAATCTATGCATACCTTTCTGTGGTTGTGAAGGTCCACCACAAGGCTGAGTTAATATTAATAGAAGAGCTGATTTAACTGTTACTGGCAAGTACAGTCAAGTCTCTATTGGTGCTAATGAAAGGGAGTGATGGAGGAACAGAACTCACAGGGTCATCACTGCTTTCCTTTAGTGGCATAGCTGGGAGGGGCAGTAGGTAGTGGGATAGAGAAATGGGTTCTGGCATTCTACCCAATCCAGCCAGTCTCTCATTCAATTCTGATTCCTGGTGATAACTTTTCGTTGGTTCTTGCTGATCAGTGATTCTGTAACACAACTATCATGGTTCTTTGGTAGTAAATATAGAATCATTTTCTTGCCCTTTAAATCCATAAATGGCATGGTGACTATGGAAAATAAAACACTGAATATTTTTCATCTGAAATATCTAGATACTTTAAGATTGAATATGACATGCACACTAGAAATTCAGCGTGAACAAGAGCTGAGTCAGACAGCTACCTCTTTGCCAGGATTTGATTACTTGATTCTTATTCACTAATGAATTTTCAGTGATTAGGAAATTAGAGAAATCCTTCATGATTTTTGAAGCATATTTAATCCAAAGGAACCTATAAAAAATAGGTGTCAGCGCTACTCTGGAATAGTGTATTTATTCCTTCTTTTGTTCATGCCAACAATATTTATTAAACATTTACCAGGTAATATTCTAGGTCCTGGGAATAAACAAATGAGCAAAGTTTAAGTCTCTGCCCTCAGGAAGATTACAGTAGAGTTGAAGAAGCAAATCATACACCAACAGTATATGATAAATGAAGAGCTAAGTTACATAAATATCTGAAGTATGAGCAATCTCGGAATAACTTATGAATAAATCCAAATTTTTGAATTGGACATCTTTTCTAGCCTCAATCTATATATCTAGAATTAACTACTTTGATGGGTTAACTGGAATTAACAACATTAACACATATCTAGAATTAACTGCTTTGATGAGTCAACTAGAGCATCCATTCATTTCTCTGTTCTCATCCCATTTAATCACTTATGTATTCTTGATATAATATGCTGTTCAGCATTGTAGATATATAAGTTCATCTGACATATCCATTACATATTTGATTTTTAATATTTTGCTTATATCCTAGGATTGATATTGCATATATGTATATGTAATATATTTGTATACCTAGGCACAAATATATCATTTATTGAGTGCTTACTATATGCCAGTCATTGTGCCAAGCACATGCATTATTTCATTTATTTCTCACACCAGCCATGTGAATAGGCAGTTAATAAAGTTTAGAAATCTAAATATTTTCTAGTAGCTACTTAGAATTCATGCCAAAATTGGTCATATTCTAAAGCTTGAATTTTAACTACTCTGCTGTACTTTACAAGAACTCTTTAAATCATTTTGCAGAATTTTAATATTTATATATGTCTATATAGTATAAATTACAAGGACATAAAATAAAATTTTCTCTGACACTGAGATAACTTTTTTAAAATTGTAATTAAAAATTATTTGTTTTCTAAACTATTACTGATGAGGGAAAAATGAAAAAAAAAAAAACTAGGAACATGTGAATAATGGATCCAACAAAAATTTTCTTTAGCTTCTAGTTATTTTCAAATTATTTCAAGACATATTTGTTGCCTATGCACTTTGTATTCTGTCATGGAGATGAAGATACAAATAAAGTACAGATACTATGAAGTTTTTCAAGTAGTTTGCAGTTCTCTGGGGATAATAGAGATATATTCAAGGATTATTTAATTCTTCATAATTTGTAGTTAGCTACCAAAATAAATGAGTAGAGTAAGAAAAGCATAATCAGAAAATCGAAAGGAAAAGAAAGAAGTCAGTGTGGTAATTAAGTAGTGAGATGGAATTTGACCAAGACTATATTATGCGTAGAAACAGAAAGCCAACATAATATGACTTTATTTTGTTTGAAATGGAGGCCCCAATACAAAGCCAAATATAATTTTTGATTGCTCATGCTGTGGCTTCCCTTTATTAGCATGGATAATAAAGAATTGACTATATTTTTACATAATACCTGAAAGCAGAAAATGAATTTTGTTTGGTTATGTTTTTATAATTTTTAAAAGAATTTTGTTAAATCATACATTGCTGCTCAATTCTATATGGGATTTTTCCTTTTCTTTTTAAATTTTTTTTCCTACTTGTGTGTTAGGTTGTGACTTACACAGACATAAGCAGAAAATTGTGGGCCAAAAGTTTCTTTATAAATAAGGCAAAGTCTTGATATTGTATATATTGTTAACCAAAAATCTACATATATTTTACTGTCTGCTTTACCTTTCTGATTCAGGTGAAGTGTTTGATTACTTAGTTGCCCATGGAAGAATGAAAGAGAAAGAGGCCCGTGCAAAATTTAGGCAGGTATGGAAAGTAGTTTTCAACTTTGTTTTGCTAATATTTTCAGTGATGTACAGTGGAGAGTATCACAAACTGGACTTTAAAAGTACCTGGCATTTTTGTTAAAGTATGATTTTAAAAGAAATATGATTGTCATACTTAAGAATGGAAATAAAGCCTATTTTCCTGAATTTAAATTTAAAATAGTTGCAGATAGTTACTTTTATATGGTCATAAATAGTGAATTTTTGTAAGTGAAACTCATCTTGTTAACTCTTTGAGTATTGGAAATATAGACCAGACTCAGATAGAAAAGAAACACTTAATCCTTTCATGCTTATGTCCAGTAATTCTTATCAAGTATTATTAACTTTATGTTTACAGCATATAAATATACTATTTAAAGAGGTTGTTATATTATTTTTTATAATAAAAGGTGTCAAAATCTAATACTCATAGATTTAAAGAATATAGTTAATTTTATTTAGTCTTATAGGGAAGGAATCATGATGTCTGTGGTTGAAGGCTGTGGTAAGACATTCATATTTCCAATTCAACTTCAATATGACTTGTTACAGAAATGATAAAATAAGAAAAATAATTTGAATCCATCTAGAATTTTTATTTTTTAATTTTTATGACTCAAGTAGTTAAAATAAACCTGCTTAATAAACTATAATAGAATGACTAATTAATGAGTTGTAAACCATTCATAAAATGTACTAAAGTAAAGTTTCAGCAGAAAACATTATATCCTAAACTTTCCCTCAGTCAATTTAAAATTTGCCTTTAAAATGACTCAATACCTCTTTTCTAAGCATTAACACTGATTGTGCAATTAAAGAGGTTCTATGATCAGTATGTTTAGACAACACTGAATGCCCACATATGATCTGTCTCTTGAGTAGTTATGTGTATGTTAACATATTAAACACTCAGATGTCCTCAAGGGCAAGGGAAGTCAATACCTATTTGTTCTGGACATGGCATTCTCCAGATTGATTGTGGAGTGACTTTGTTTTGTGAAACTTTTATTATTGATATTTTACAGAATTATTACCTTTTTAAACACAGTTGGTGAAATGCTTTATACCAAAGCCATGCGTAATCCTTTTTTCAGGATAGATTCCTAGATGTATTAATATAAAAAAGTGAAGGTAAAAGGTAAAAGCAACTAGTAATGAGAAAAGCAACATTAAGAAGCTGAAATTATGTTCAGCCCATTGCTGTTAAATTCTTTCCTGTCCTGGGACAAAATTCTAAGCTTACTCTTAAGTAAAGCACTACAAACTTCACTTTTGTTCTTCTTTCATTATAAGTCACAGTAGTTTTAGTTAGTAGCAGACCTGCAAGTCAATTCCAATTGGTGTTAAATATTTCCACTGATATATTAATGTATATTTTAAAGATGATTGCTATTTATACTTTTTAAATTAGTCAGCTAATTTCACTTTTTTACTGAAGAATACACTCATGTAGAAAATTATTCTTGGTACTATATGAAACTAGAGAAGTTGAAAATGCCTGCTATTCTAAAAAACTCACTATCGTGGCTGGTGGACAAAAGTAGGATAAGAAGTTAGGACAAAAATATTTTCATATACCTTGCACACACATAGGGCCTTGGGTTCTGTCCCTGGCACTGCAAAAAAGAAAAAAGATTTTTTTTTAAATACAGATCAAATAAATACTAAAATTGGTTTGGTCTTTTGAATAAAGTCTGAATTATTTAGAAATCAGATTTATATTCCTCATGTTGCTGAAGCTGTGTCAAATGAATGCTGTTTAAAATATAAAACAATGAAATATATTTTCTTTAAAATTATTCATGTGCAGTAAATATTAAATGTATTTAATATCTATATGTGTTCCCTCAAAATTGGAAAGTTTATTTCTGAGGAGCTTATTTTTCTTTCTGGATTTAACATGAACTTCTAAAGAACCAATAAAAGTAGATTTTCTTTTATTTTTATTTTTTTTCTATATTTTATGGACTTTTTTTTTAGCAGTAAAAGGATGTACTACCTTAGCAAGGATATACAAATACATGTCTTTCATCCCACTGTGAGACACACCAAAGATGTATATGACAGTTTAAGACCATTTGTCAGCTGTCACTGATAGAATACCTCTGCATTCCTGAAATTTGAGGGGCTACAAAAAAATAATAGTATTGCTTTCAATATAGGAACTTCTGACCCACTTGTAAGTAATGGCAGAGCAACCTCAACCACTGCACCTTCCCAAAAACACACTGATATTTGTAGCCTTAAGATTAGTGCAAGGCTGATTATAAATCCATTTTCAAGGTCCATAGTAAAAGGATCATCAAGAAGCTCCCACATACTATTTATGGGATACAGAATGTTTTGAGATGGAAGAGTCTAACCACAGAATAATGCAGTGAAACTGGTTTGTGGATGGAGAAGTTTGCTGTGAGTCAGAAGCCAGAACTTCTCTTGTGGCAGAGACTGTTCCCTGTAACACAAGCATAGAAACACTGTGAACCACCACATTGAATGAATGCTAGCTCAGAGGTCATTCTTTGTGATAATACATGCTTAATACAGAGAATTCTCTTTAATTAGCTTTCCATTTTTAAAGCTTAAAGGCGTGGAGAATTTTTGATTCCAGATATCCCTGTGGAACTGCTTTCATGAAGACCATTCTGTCTGACGTGAAATGCATGGCTTCTGATTATATTTGATAACCAAATCATTATTTGCAGCACATCTTCACGGTATCTTACAGATGTGTGACTTGTAAAAGATAATAGCATTATCAGCAAAATTCTGTCATCTGTGATACAAAGTTGCCTGGTACTATAACCTATGGGGTATATTCAATAAAATATGCATATAAATGTAGAGCGTCCTATGTCCAGCACACATAATTTAGTGAAAATTGGGTGTTGGAATCTTGAAGCATACTGCTTAAAAAGACTAATAGAACAAATATTTGTTGTTAAGTTCTACAGTATTTTAAAAGCCTCTAACTTCTAAATGATCATAAGCATTCATAGTCACCCTGCCCCAAACTTAGTGGTTCTATAGTACTTGCTTATTTGGGAATTCAAGGACTTTTCCCAGCCTCTGTATCAAAGTTGGACTCCCACCCTGATCATTTTTGTGTCAATTTTTCAAATACATTGTGTCCCCTTGTCGTTAATACATTTCACCACCTTACCCCCCCTACTTCCCCATACCAAAATCTCAATATTTTCAAATATTTTCGTCCTTCAAGAATGGCTTAGATCAAGTAGTACCTATTCCAGGAAGCATTTCCAACTGAAATTATTCTGTATCTTTTATTATTCTCTCACTATTTTCTACTGCTTTTATGATGTTATCTTGTATTACAGTTACTCACGTACGTGTTTTTCCTTTTCAGTCAGATTATAAGCTTCTTAAGAGCAGAGTTCATGTAGTGTTCATTTTTGTGTTCCCCTAGCAACCAGCACATTTTCTTGCACATAGCAGGTACTCAATAAACTGTTGAATCAAATGAATTCAAATGAATTATATATTATTCATTTTATGTTGATTATTTTGTTTTGGATTCATGTCTTCTCTGTCTTTGAACCATTTCAATACACATTAGAATTATTTTCTAATACCAAAATATCAGTTTCACTCTACTTTGAAGTTCCTTTTTTCACCCATATTCCTATTAGTCTGATCATATTTCACATCACCTTTAGACTTTAAAAAATCTCACTTCTTTCTCCGTTTGTAATAACTAACCAATTTTCAGCATTCAAACTGTGTTTTCATTTAAATGAATCCACAGAATTGAATTTTCTGCTGTGCATTAAAATGGTCATTGCCTTATACATCAGATACAGTACAAAATAGCCTTTTCATTGTTATCAGTCTTCCCATTTCCTTGTTTTGCGTAGTAAAGAACTGTCATAAAATTGTTTATAATCTACTTCTCACTTTATATTTTAGCCTTTAAACTTGTTTAAACTGTCTTCCCTGTTTAGTCCTTGTCACCAAAGAGATATTGTAATGGTTAAAAATTATGGCGACATACCAAACGTAATTATAAGTGTAAAATTCTTTGCTTTTCTGAATTAGTGAGAGGTGTAAGATTAAATTTCATTTTCATTTTGATAACTGGGTGTTTTTAGGGCTCAAAATTTTTTTCTATTTATGTTTAAACAGGTAAATATAAGATATTACTAAATACTTCATTTAAAAGGTCTTAACAAATTGAGGAAACATGCCTAGAACACATTGATGTTATTCCTAACATCTAAGATTTGTTTTTTAACTCTAGCCAGATAATACTAATTCATGTGTGTTAAAGTACTTATTTCAACACTGTAATAAACTGTTTGGCCAAAAATACAAATTATACACATTCAGTCATGTAATCAGACAAAACCTTCATGGACTCTGACAAAAAATATTTTAGTATGTATTAGTAAGACAATATTATATTCCCCCATTTTCGTTTTATCACTTAAATCTGCATAGTTTTCTTAACTAAAGGAATAGTGAAATGACTATCACTTTGAAATCTGAGGTAGTAATTTATTTAAATTGGAGGTGGTGATTGTGGAAAAATCAGAGTGTCTTTACCATAAAATAATTTTGACTCTTATTCAAATGTTTATTTCAGATTGTGTCTGCCGTACAGTATTGCCATCAAAAGTGCATTGTTCACCGTGATCTTAAGGTAAGCATCTGATTTTATAACAAAAAAATCTTGATTAGCAGATATTTAATAATAAATTTGGAGCTGACTCTTTGATTACCTAACAGTTCTAAGTGCTATGCAGGTAGTTTTATATAATTCTCATGATAATTTTATGAAAGGATCCATGAGCAAATGAAGAAAAATATGGATATGAAGTTACTTAGCTCAGAGACTAGAGGATATTATTCACCTTTGATTAGCTTGTTTTAAATAGATAAACGCAAAACTCTGTCCCCAACAAAAAAGCCTGAGGTCTCATTCAGACAGAGGCAAGGTCAAAGTACAAATCCATGTTTACCTATATAGCTTTAATGTCCATTCTCTGCATTAAAGCTCAAAATAAGGAAAGCTTCCAAATGTTTTTATGAACATTAAAATATATGAAAAATCAAGAAATGATGGTGGCCAACTAGGTTTCAAAAGAAAATTAAAGTAGATTCTCTGAGCTAAAATATTTTAGTTTTTTTCTTCTTTTCTTCATTCTTCCAAATCTATTTTGCATTGTTCTTTATCTCTTTATCTAGGAGTTTATTTTTATTTTTCACTTCTTTTTCCATTGCCTTTATCAATTACTAGTACCAGTTTGGGATATATTTGAATATACTTTTTTAAACGGTTGTTAAAATTGTTAACTTGTTTTTTGGCTCCATTTCTCTGAGCTCACAGACTTTCTACTGCTCCAAATGTTTCTGTTTCTCACTTTCCTCTCTCAGATAGTTCAAGGGGAAATCACTTTCACAAAGAAAGAAAAGATTGTTCCCTCGCTTTTATGTTTGACTCTCAGCTTATCATCTCATTTCTTACATGGAAAAAAAAATTTTGCCAAAAAATCTTGTTTAACACCATTGATGTTTTCTCTCCAGTCCAGTGGAGAGAATTTTCCCAGTTGTTTCTAATAAGAGAGCTTGGAACCCCTTGCAGCTCTCATCTGAGGCAGAATGGGTACTTTAATATCCATCCAGACAGTTCAAGGGAGAGTAAAGAAGGTTCGGCTTGCTCACAGACAGCCTCAGAAACATACACTGACCAGACCCTTACATCAGAACTTCATTTTTTTTTTTACACAGTCCATAATTGTTAGGATCTCATATAAATCTCTCAAATGTATTTGTTTTGTAATATTTATATCAAAAGTGATACCACATTTTTAATTCCCTATTTTGAGTGTGAGGCATATTTCCATTTTCCAAAACAATGTCCCAAGCTCTAGTATACCATAAAATAAGGAAAAGAAGAAGGGATGTGAAAGGAAAAGAAAAAGGAATGTGAGGCAGGGAACAGATATATGATAGGTAGAGTGCCTGGTGATGATGCCTGTTGGAGCCTCCAGAGGTAGAGCAGAAGTGTCTCTGATTTTCATTTTGGCCAAATTTTACTGTTTTGGAATCTGATAAAACATACCTACAAGATAACCTCTAACTTTGTTAGCCTGTTCATCAATTGAAACTCAGAGTTTGAAATGAAATATGTATAAAAGCAAGTCCTTTAATGAATTGCTTACATTTACAAAAGGCACATTTAAAATTTTGTCTTTGAATGATTCTGTGATCAGATTTTAGGAAACCAGCCTAGGGAGGCTGTATGATTGTGTTTTGTTTCTCTTAACTACTACTTTATTGAGGAAGTATTCTAGAAGAAAGGACAAAGGAATGAATAAACTAGTCACAGAACCCTTGGCTAGTAGATTTGTAATATGACCTTGAACCTTGCATCAACCAAGGGCACCCTGTTAAATTAGAGCTCCTCTGGGTAAACTTGGTTGAAGTCCCAGGTAGAATAGGATTTTACTTTAGAATACATCCTACTGAGGTATAGTTCTGTGATGTTTCTTAACCATAAAGGAGAAAATGGGTCTTAAATAACCTTTCTTAAATTGTTACATATGTGCGTGTAAATGAAAGCTTTCCTTTTCTGGTGTTGAAATTCAGTCTTACATAGATGTTGTATTGGTATGTCATACTGGGCTTCTAAATTTGGTATTATATTTTAAAATGAGAGGCAAGAAATAAGTCTAGGATCTGAAACAAGTATGTAGATTTTTATTTCATATATGCTTTTTACATTGTGCTTTTTATTATTTTCCTCTTAGGCTGAAAATCTTCTCCTTGATGCTGATATGAATATTAAAATTGCTGACTTTGGTTTTAGTAATGAATTCACAGTCGGGAACAAATTGGACACATTTTGTGGAAGCCCACCCTATGCCGCTCCTGAGCTTTTCCAAGGAAAGAAGTATGACGGGCCCGAGGTGGACGTTTGGAGTCTTGGCGTCATTCTGTATACATTAGTCAGTGGTTCCTTGCCTTTCGATGGCCAGAATTTAAAGGTATCGGCTGAATTTGATGTTTATGTTTTTATCCCCATACCAATAATTTTAAAAGCTAGTTGTAAGTACTTTTTTTCATGTTTTTAAGGAACTGCGGGAGCGAGTCTTGCGAGGGAAGTACCGTATCCCCTTCTACATGTCCACAGACTGTGAAAATCTTCTGAAGAAATTATTAGTGCTGAATCCAATAAAGAGAGGCAGCTTGGAAGTGAGTGAAGTTTTGTGCTCCAGATATAAAGTTTAAAAGTTAAGATGTTTCAGGAACCAAAGAACACCGGCATTTTCTTTAGAAAATTGCCAAGTTATTTAGTTTGTCTTTTGTTTAAGGTAGAGAAAGTGATTTGATTATTCAGAATTTGTTGTTGTAGGTTTTTCTAAAGACTATTTCTTTTTGATTTTCCAATGAAGTATTAAAACGAAATAAAAATGGGGATAAAATTGACTTTTAGTTAGAGAAAAAAAGAAAACAGCCTATGTCAGAAGCCACTTGGTCCAAAACAGAAGCCTTGTTTTCAGTAAGGACTCAATAAAACAGTGATGAAAGAAGATTGTGAAAATTCCAGTGTCTACTTCATGGCTCTTTCTGAAAATAGTATGTGATATTAAAAATTTAATAGAAACATTAATTTTCTATGTATTAGTAAATTTACTAATACCTAAGTAGGACATATTAGAAGCAGTTATTTTCATTTTTTGACACACTGCTGTTGTGTACATACATTTTATATGTTTTATTATACGTGTTACTAATAAGTATGTTACAGCCAAATAATATCAGAGATTTGCATAACCAAAATGTCTAATCATTTTTCCTTCTGATCCTGCAATTAGAATAACTTACTTCTTAAGTATTTTGCCCATCTGTTTTTAAGAGTGAAATTTTGGCCTGTACTTAATATAATTGCAGAGATTCAGCATGCATTATTATTCACTTGTGCTTTTTGTCTTCTTTTATTTGTCTTAATTGGAAGGGTAGAAAATTCAGAGAATTAACCTCATTTAAACTGTACTTTTTTAGTGTAGCAATGGGGCTTTCTGGCACGGACTCCATGCTGGTTAGGAGGCAGCCTTATAGTGAGCCATCCCTGTGTACAGAGCTCTCAGGTTAGTTTGGGCTTTGTAATTCTATTTCCACAAATATTTTTCACAAAAAGATACAATATGTTTTGATGGAAGTTAAGGGATGGTCACTTCCATTGGGAAATTATTCTAAATGCTTTGTGTCAGTGGATCAGTTATCAGTTATTTTTTACTGAATTATTTGTTTAAATTTGATTAGTTCTAAGCTTAAGATTTTTGTGTTTTTTTTCCTTTATGGGTAAAAGGATATATTAGTGATATTTTAATGGAGAACATATACAGTAAAAAGGCCCATTTTTATATCACTGCTTTTTCTAACCTACCTATAACTATTATTCATAGACAATAACATGAAGTAATTAAAAATTAGAATTGTTAACACTCTATTGGTTCTAAAATTCAAGAAATTTAGAGGACATTGATCTTCCTATTCTTACCTCATGATCCTCTTTTATCACAGGAACCCACTTTACCTGAGTGTCACTTATCAAAAATATCCAAAGTTCAAGCAGCAGCTCAGTCAATAAGCAGAATGAAAAGAACATACAAAACTTATTTGGGGAGAGTAGATCTTACAAATCTCTGTGGACAATTATAAGATGTACTTATGTCTTAAAGATGATTAATTTTAGGGCTGGGGATGTGGCTTGAGTGGTAACGTGCTCACCTGGCATGCCCAGGGAGCTGGGTTGGAGCACCACATACAAATAAAATAAAGATGTTGTGTCCACCGAAAACTAAAAAATAAATATTAAAAAAATTCTCTCTCTCTCTCTCTAAAAAATTTTACAGTAGCCAAATATTTTAGTCTTTTACCCATAACATTAAATTGCTGAGGATTTAAACTATTAGATTTATTTGAATTCAATTTAAATGACAAATTATAATTATTATTATTAAAACATTCAATCTTCTAAAGTTCAAGTTTGACACATTTGAGTAGAGCCTGGAACCTTCCATTCCAACTTACCAAAACTAAGTTTTTCAACTACAGAACCATGTGTTCACATTGAAAATATTATCATAATAGTGCAGGTTTCACTATACAGAGGCTGGTCTGCTTCACAGTTCCCCAAAGAGATTTCCTAGAGAAACTGTCACCAAACCTTGGGAATATCAATGACTTAAAACATTATATTAGTCTATTTTTATTTTAATACAAACTTTATTATCAGCTTTATAGTGAAAATCTGTAACCTGTTTTTAAAAATCTATTTTCAAAACACTTATCTTTGATGTGTATACATAACTTTTTATCCAGAAGTAGTGTTTCCATGTCATTCCTTTTTTTTTTCTTTTTTTAGCTTTAAAATTTTGAGAATGTTCTTTTTTGCTTTATTGCAGGAATGAGCTCCTTCCTTTTAATTAGCTGTGTCCTTTGGTTCTCCTTGGGTTACCTATCATAATTTATTTAACCATTCCCTGCTTGTTGCACATTTGAGTTGTTTCCATTACTTTTGCTAAAAATAATATGGTGTACTTATTTTTCCTGTTGAGATATATACTTAGATAAAGTCTCCAGAGTGGAATCACTGGGTCAAGGGTCTAAGTGATCTGATAGCTCTCATATATCTTTGCTGAAAAGAAGTGTGTGACTCAAGGCTTTTGAATATGCCTGTTCTCCACTGCTTGATCCAGTGTTGAATATAATGAGTTCTAGAGTATGATATCTTTGTGTAATTTGTTATAATTGCTTTATAAATTGCTTTAATTTGTGTTTCTTTTATTAGTGATAAAGCTCTATATTTTTAATTAATAGGTTGACTGTGCTTTTTCACATATAACCTCTTTAATGTCTCTTAACTATTCATCTAAGAATCTGTTAATTGCCTTATAGATTTGTACTAGCCTTGTAGCTTTTAAGATGAAATATTGCCCTTGCTAGTTCTCATATTTTAAAAAATGGAATTTCATTTGTTTCTCTTCAGTGTCACACAACTATCATGAATTATTGATTTTAGAGTAACTTCTAGTCTTTCTTATGTGCTTTGCTAACACTGAAATTTAATTTAGGGAATCTTGTTTATTGTTTTACTAAACTTCTTATTTAGCTTGCATTCCTTTCTTTTCTTTACCAGATATAACCACATATTATTAAAATGTTTCTTAAGGATTTGTAAGTTAAATACTATATTTATACTTTATGAAAATAATGAAATTAGTTTCACATTCTACTTGTTTGACCAACAGTTGTTTCTAGACCTAAACAGTTGTAGAGCTTTTTAGGTGGCATGTGTAAATGCTGTTAACTCTTCCTGTTTGCCCTAATATTGGTAGGAAACTGTATCACACATGATTCTAAAAGGATTTGTGTTTTATATTGTGTAGTGGGATCTCCCCATCTTTGGTTTACTGGATATCAATGTGTCTAGATTTATCTATTAGAAGGAAACAAAAAAGCTTTTCTCCTTTCCCTTCTCTCTATGTTTGTGTTTATTCATTTTTCTAGTTTTTGTTGTAGTAGCAGTGCTGTGGATTTTGTTGTAGCAGCAGTGCTAGGATGTTTTGGCATCCTAGGAAGGAACTCTAGCACTCCCCAGCTCTCATTTTTACAATTCTTAGCCACGATAGACTTTACTACTTTTCAAATAATACAAAATGTGATCCTCAAGTACCATTCCTCTTAATGCTTTCTTTGTGTCATCTTTGGCCTTCCCTCGAGAAGTATATATTTTGACTTTCAACACTTTCTTCAGGAGCTGCTAAAATAATCTTGTTTATGTCCATGCAGTACAAGTGACAGTAAAGCAAAAAGAATAATAATTATTCTTTTTTTAGAAAAAAGAAAGCTATCTAAGTACAAATACAAAGATTTTAATAATTTAAGTAAAATTATTATACTGACCACCCTAAATTGTACTATTTTTAAATGTTCACCATAGTTAATTATTCTAATTCTTTATAATTCATCTGAAGCAATTATTTTCTTAGTATTTACTCTACACAGTCAGCAAGTAGCCATATCTGTTCATTGGCAGTGATGGGAGAGTAAGCTTTCTTTTGTTAAGTTTGCAATTGTGTTTGTCCTCTTTATTTCTCATGAGGTATCTGAAATGAAATCTGAAGTGGATTAATTTATCCAACTGGTTCCTATGTCTAGTACACTTTGTTGGCCTAGTTCTTTTTTACCTTGCCTAAATCCACCCAGATTAGGGTTTCATGGCTTCTCTGTCACACAGTACCTCCAGATCCTGAAGACATTTCTTCCTCAGCTTTTAACATTAATTCTTGTGTTTGCCATAAAAGGATTTTGTATAGGACTGAGTTTCATGCAACTAATGATAGGTACTTTTTTGTCTCTCTTTTCTTTCATATATCCCTATTTTATTTCTTTTTGTGCCTTATTCTTAGAAAAGATCCTCTGCTTAAAAATTTATTAAATTTATTATTTCTTTAGGCATATCTTCTCCTTCTTGTCTTTACCTTCCATCCTCAGTTTATTTTTATTCTGCTTTGAAGTACGACTGTGGTGAGACACACTGCTAAGTAGACTCTTGGCAATTCCCATTGACTAGAGTAACAGGAAGGAGACCTAAACTTTGCTGATTCTCTCATGGCTGCCCAGTTGTCTTTCCTAATCACTGAGTTTCTCCTTTTCCTGGCTCAGTGTTGCCTCATATCTCTTTCATGTGAGGGTGGTCAGGTCACTGCTTCTTCTGTGTCACTGCCTATTACTCTTTTTCTTGTATTTTTTCTAAAATGTGGTTTATCTTCTTTGTTAATAAAATGTAGCATTTCTTCATTGGCCTTTCAAATCAACTTTCAGTTGATCATCAGAAGATACTAACTGTATCTTCCACTCTTTCATTGCATATTATCTTTGTTCCAAGTCAAAGGGAAGTTTCCTCACTACTGTTCACATCTTTCTGCCTTAACTTTCTACCAGTTCAAATACTACTTATATCTTGAGTAAGTTCACTTCCTACATCTTTATGATTCCTTCCCAGAAAACTCCAGCACATTTTGGTCTTTTGTAAGAACTTGATGTTAATAGCACAACTTTGAATAGATGAATATTGTATATTAAAATATTTTTAGATTTTATGAGTAAATCTTCTTTCCTGAGTAAGAGAAATAGCACTTACCAGTATACACACACACATACACACTTTCAACATTGGTCTAGGTGTGTGTATTTTTTTCCTAACATGGACATATGAGTATGATGAGTATCAAGTAAACAGATAAAGACATCAGAACATTTGAATTATCTTCATTTTGCTTTAAGTTGCCTGTATTCCAACTGTCAGATCTGCTGTCTCCTATATAGTTCTTATTTAATTCATAGAAACCCTAATTTGCAGGCCCTTGAGTTAAAATCTTCGGAGCTCTCTTGGATTGGCCCTTTTCATTAATACCCAAACAAATTTTGTCATTAAGGTCTTGAGATGAATCTGTTTTCTTTCTTCCATTTCCATATATCCAGATGAGCCCTCTGTTGTCTCCCTCCCGAACATTTTCACAGCTTCCTAAAGTGTCATCTAGCTGCTAGAATCTCTGCATTCTATCTTACCCATGGCTCTTTAGCATCCTCATTTTATTTGAACTACCTTCTTCAAACACAACAAACATTTGTGCCAAAAAAGATACTATAAGGCCATGGAAAGCAAAACCATAGATAAAGGAAAGACATGTCTTCATCTTCTAATTTAGGAAATTCTGCAGACTATAATATTTTATTTCTATAAATGCTACTAATGACTCTAGCCTAGGCTTCTGTCACATATACTGTTAGAGAGGGAAGGAATGAGGAACAGAAAGGAGGAAATTATGTGGCAGAAATTTGCAGCTCTGCTTTGTCCTTATTTTTTCTTTTGGAATGCAACCTCCCTAACAATTTTACTGATGAATAATCACTAAAAGTTTACATGGGCCAGGTGTGCTGGTGCACTCCTGCCATCCCAGCAACTCAGGAGGCTGAGGCAGGAGGATCACAAGTTCAAAGCCAGCCTCAGCAGCTTAGTGAAGCCCTGTCTTAAAACAAAAAATAATAAAAAGGGCTGGGGATATGGCTCAGTGGTTAAGTGCCCCTGGGTTTACTCCTTAGAACTAAAATAAAATTAAAAAAAAAAAAACCTTACATAATATCACTATTATTTTAAAATTTGTAGTAGATTTGCTTTTATTTAATTTATTGGATGATATACTTAAGTTATTTTTATAACCATTTTTTATAACCATTGGTCAGAGTGGTTGTAAAAAAATCTGCTTGTTTTTGTCTTCTGGTACTTGACTTTGGGTAAATATTAATATAAACAAGGGGAAATATCTAGGCACTCAAGGAGTCAGCCATAAAAAGAGAAAGTTATTTTTCTAATTAGTAGACTCTTGGCAAATAAAGTATAGAGTTGGAGAATATATTTTACAGGGCTTGAAAAAAAACTAATATACAACACCTACAATGAAAGCATAGAATTCTGTAATAATAAAAAGTTAACCATTTTAAAAATTAATACAGAATTATTCAGATTTGTTTGTCTTTAAATGCTGAAGGTGAGGTTTTCCATCATCTGCATAATGATTTTATCATGGATCTCTAGCTCCCAGTTTTTCTATTGCTTGGCTGTGAATGTGGTAATTTACCCACTAGGTTTTTCTTTTGGGGGCAGTCCTAGGGATGTAGGTTAGTGGTACAGCACTTGCTTAGTGGGTGGAAGGCCCTGGATTCAGTCCCATCACCACGAAATAAATTTTAAAAATGAATAAAAGGGCAACATTTTTTTAAAAATAGCATAAACATGCCTTTTTTTCTTTTTTGGTACCAGGGATTGAACTCAGGGGCATTCGGCCTCTGAGCCACATCCCCAACCCTATTTAGTATTTTATTTAGAGACGGAGTCTGACTGAATTGCTTAGTGCCTCACTTTTTTGCTGAGGCTCTCTTTGAACTAACAATCCTCCTGCCTCAGCCTCCCAAGCAGCTGGGATTACAGGCGTGCACCACTGTGCCTGGCTTAACATGCCTTCTTAACCATTTCTTTTTATAATTATAATTTGGTTAACTATCACTCTTGTACAAGATCTCCAGAACTTTTCTATCCTGTGGCTAAAACTCTAAACCCATTGAACAGCTAGCTCTAGCATGTTCTTCTCCTTCAGTCTCTAGTAACCACCATTCTGCTTTCTGCTTCTGGGAGTTTGACTGTTCTAGATGTCTCATCTAAGTGGAATCATGCAGTATTTATCTTTCTGTGGTTGTCAAGCATTTTACTTAATGTTCCCAAGGTTCATCCAAGTTGTAGGATGTGACAGAATTTCTTTTATAAGGCTGAATAATATTCCATTGCATATATACAGCACATTTTCTGTATCCATTCATCTGTCAGTGGTCATTTAGGTTGCTACCACATCTTGGTATTGTGAATAATGCTACAGTGAACACAGATGTGAAAATATTTCTTGGATACTCTGTTGTAGTTCTTTTGGATAAATATCCAAGAAATGGGATTACTGGATCATGTGGTAGTTCTATTCATGTCCTGAGGAAACTTAATACTATTTTACATAGATGTAGTCCCATTTTATAATCCCATCAGCATTGTTCAAGGATTCCAGTTTCCTCACATATTTGCCAACAATTATTATATTTAGGGTTTTTTTTATAGTGGGCAGCCTAAAGGATTTCAGATATTTCATTGTGGTTTTGATTTTTCCTGATTATTAGTATTTCATGTAAGCATTTTCCTATTGTTGGCCATTTGTATGTCTTCTTTGGAGAAATGTCTATGCATTTTCTTTTATCTTTCTTAAATTATTTATTTTTACCTTATTGAGTTGTAGGAGTCCTTTTGGATATTAACCACTTAACCAACAAATGGTTTGCAAATGTTTGTTCCCATTCCACAGGTTGCCCCCATTAGGTTGTCTTAACAGCCAGGACTGATGGTTGTTCTGCAGCCTCAGCTTAAATCTACCTGTGGTAGTTTGCATCAATACCTGTCTTCACCCTGATTTTCACCTAATTTATAACTCTAGATTCAAATTCTTTCCATATTCTCTTGGAGTTATCTTTACTAACTAACCCTCTCCTTTCTTAATATCTTAATAAGTGCTGATTTTTAAACACAGGTATATATTTGGTAGAAGACCAGACAAAAATTAAAATCTTTTCAGTAATCTTTAAATTATAAATATGAAGAAAAGATTAAAGTTGGGAGGTTCTTAAGACCTTCAAATTTGAAAATATTCTTTTTAAATGAATATGGAAGAAAAGTTATTTTGAATCATTATATTTGGTAAGTATGTGGGATGACAGTCACAGTTGTCTTAAGATACTGTATGTGGGTTCCAAAGTTCCATACCTTTTATTGAACTGGTAATCAAACTATACGCAATAACTTTATTTGAAAATGTTACATGATTCTTGTTGAGTAAACCAGTAAATTTCACATTTGCTAAAATAACTCATTGAATGTTTCAAGTGACCAAACTTAACATAGAGTTTATTTCCTAGCAAATAATGAAAGATCGATGGATGAATGTTGGTCATGAAGAAGAAGAATTAAAGCCATATACTGAGCCTGAACCAGACTTCAATGATACAAAAAGGATAGGTAAGTATTTAAATATTGTAAGATGTGATATAGTAAGCCATAATAAGAGTCTTTAGTCTATAAAATAGAGTTTAAAACTAGGAAGCAATTTTTATTAGAAAAATATTTATCATCTTAATGATAAACACTATACATAAAAAATTACAGGCTCCTTAGTTTGTTCTCATATATATTATGGTCTGAGTTAATTGTTGTCAACTTTAACATAAAAGTTAAAATCATGTAGATAAACCTACTTTTTTCCTTTGTCAGTCTCTCACAGGAGGGCTGACTGATGCAACTATCAGCACTGATCAGACTGATAAGTATCAGCAAACACAGCATGTACTTTTACCAAAACTCTAAAAGCACTCAAATAAAGGGAATGAACTCTTCAGCTCACCTTTTGTTTTCCACTTTCTTAGCAGAGTCCACTGGCCCTCTGCCCTGGTCCTGCTGTCTGCCCACACTCAACCATCACTCTGCTTCCAAAATCACTTCCTTTGTTTCTCTATCCCTATCCAAAGCCATCAGAAACTCACAGGAGTCATCTCAACTAGGCTTTTATCTGACTGAAAGGCAAAGTGGCAGGGGAGAGCACTAAGATCCTAATCAGAACCATCATGGAATTCAAGCCCTCCACAGAAGAATTTGTTCTCCAAAGCAGAAATTGTTAAGAGATGAGAGAGATCACTCCATGAGTAGCTGGGGATGCATTGAGAGAGACAGATAGAAAGAGCCAAAGAAGAGGGATTTTGTATGGAGTGACACAGACTAATAGTCTGACTAGACAAAGGAAGTCAGCTCAGGAATGTAGTAGGCAATGAGAAACTGAGTTGGCTCATGCGTATATAATGTACAATGTAAGTAATTCTGCAAGAAAAATTATGAATGTGTGCCTGTGAACACAGTATCTGTAGGTTAATAATCCAAAAATTTGTAAAATTAAAACTATACTTTAAATTTTTTAAGACTTAATTTTCATATCTAGTCTCTTGGAAAACTTGCCAATTTTTGCTGTTTTTTAATAAAATGAACCCATATTCAGAAAATTTATACTTTCTTTTCCTAGACATTATGGTCACCATGGGTTTTGCACGAGATGAAATAAATGATGCCTTAATAAGTCAGAAATACGATGAAGTTATGGCTACTTATATTCTTCTAGGTAGAAAACCACCTGAAGTAAGTCTTCCTTCTTTTTAAATTAATGTGAATTATTTATTTAATTAAATAACAGCTAAGTGTAATATATAATGTTTGTAAATGATTTTTATGATATAAAAAATTCTAATATTCTTATTAGAATTCAAAAATCAAAGTGCTAAATTATGAACTAATTTCATTTCTGGGTAACAAGAGGGATTTTATGCAAGAGTAGGCCCATTGCCCTGTGTGGCTTCAAGAAGCACCACTCACTGTCTGGTCTTAGAATGAGGTCCCCCAGAGTTGTACAGTACACAGCTTCTGCATCCAAGTGTACCAGCCTCATCAAAGCCACTACGATAATTCTGGGTGTACAGATAAGACAGTGACTGAAACAAAAGAAAGTGGCAGTATTTCAAACTAAATGTATGTATGAAATGATTTGTGTAAGTGGAAACCCAGGGAAAGGTTGTTTCTTGATATTTTGTCTCATAGCATATCAAGTGGCTTTAATGCATCCCCAAGGCCAGAAGAGATCCGTAATAAGGAGACAGATTCAGGAAATAACTGTAAATAAATGGTGAATCGTAAAAGGAAATTATCCTTTTGGAAAACAGTTATAAAGGGTGTAAATTAGGAGTAGGAATGGAGGTCAAGAGAATTAATAGTTTGTTAAAAATTAGATATCTATGGGGAAGGTATTTTATAGAAAAGGCAGAAATTGGGCTGGTGATGTGGCTCAAGCAGTAGCGCGCTCGCCTAGCATGCAGGGGCCGCTGGGTTCCATCCTCAGCACCACATAAAAATAAAATAAACATGTTGTGTCCACCAAAAACTTAAAAAACAAATAAATAAATATTTTTAAAAATTCTCTCTCAAAAAAAAAAAGAAAGAAAAGGCAGAAATTAGTTGTAATTAAATAGTAACTATGAGTGAAGCACATTCCAGCTAATATTTATTGAATCTTCCCTGTACCAGGAACTATGCTCAGTAGTATAAATATGAAAACAAGAAAGTTTCTCCTCTCAAAGAGCCCACAGTACGGAGATAAGTACTCAACAATATGATACAGTGTGGTAGGTTGTTGGGGATGCTCTGGGAGCTATAGGAGGATAGGCACCTACAACAGGCTAGGTGAGATCTGTCAAGGTGTTCTACTGAGATGGAGGATGTAAGTATAATAGTACTTGGCAACCAGTTGGAATAAAGAATAAGAGTCCCTCATATTTCTTATTTCCTCAGTATGGATGACTGGTTGTATAAGGTGCATTTGCCAAGATAGGAAAGCTATGGATTCTAGGGGAAATATGGGAAGTCTGGGGTGGTTGAATTGGAGATTTCTCTTGGAGTTGTATAATAGATATTCATATGTAAAGATCTGGATCTGCAGGAAAAGATTCAAGTAGATCGAAGGCGCTGGGGGGGCGGGCAGCTCTGCCCCTCCGAGAGGTGGGAGGGAAAGGGAGAGAGAAGGGAAATTGTATGGAAATGGAAGGAGACCCTCAAGGTTATACAAAATTACATACAAGAGGAAGTGAGGGGAAAGGGAAAAATAATACAAGGGGGAGAAATGAATTACAGTAGAGGGGGTAGAGAGAGAAGAGGGGAGGGGAGGGGGCATAGTAGAGGATAGGAAAGGCAGCAGAATACAACAGACACTAGTATGGCAATATGTAAATCAATGAAAGTGTAACTGATGTGATTCTGCAATCTGTATACCGGGTAAAAATGGGAGTTCATAACCCACTTGAATCAAAGTGTGAAATATGATATATCAAGAACTATGTAATGTTTTGAACAACCAACAATAAAAAAAGGGGGGGGGAATCCAATAGTGGACAACCAAAAAAAAAAAAGATTCAAGTAGAATTAACAGATTTTTGGAGTCATCATCTGAGGAACACATGTTGCATGCACTAGTGTGTCAGAAACTGTTCTAAAGGATTTAACAAGTATTAATTCATCTAATTCTCTCAATGAATGCCCCAAGAAGGTGCTATACTGGAGGAGAAGAATCTTCAGTGGGGATACTGACAGCTAGGAAGTGGTGTCTAAGAAGCCAGGTCAAGAGAATTTTAAGTGGGAATGGCACAAAAGATTTTTTTTTTTCTGAAGTCTTAACTGTTTCTACTTAGATTTTTAAATTTCAGTCCTGAGATCTTTTGATTTTCTTATTAATTTAAATACAAAGGAAGCATAAATTTTATAAGTATACAGTCCACCCCGCCTGTGAGTTAAAATGAAGTATGAATTGTATTGAATATAAACTAATGAAGCTACTGTGAGAGTAAGCCTGAACTTAAGAGCCAGGTTTACCTTCCCTACCTACACAGCATCTCTGTCATGTAGACAATTTAATTTTCTATGCCTCAGTTTCCTTATCTACAAAGTGAAAATAAGAATAGTACTTACCTCTTAGGGTCATTGTGAGAATATAAAAAATTAACACTTAGAATAGTTGCTGTCAGATTACTGTGTGCTCCATTTTAGCTAATATTTGTCATGATTACCACCATCATTAATCTGCCATTTGTTATTAGTTTCATCTACATATGAATTTAAATTTCACATTGGAATGTCAGTGATGCAGTGTTTTAGCTAGCTCTTTTACTGCTGTGACCAAAAGACCTGACAAGAACAATTTTGGAGGAGAAAATGTTTATTTGGTGCTCACACGGTTTCAGAGGTGTTAGTTCATATAAAGCTCTGGGCTGGAGGTGAGGCAGAACATCATGGCAGAAGGGCATGTCAGAGGAAGACATCTCAGGACATTGCACCAGGAAGAAGAGAGAGACTTCTCTCACCAAGGACAAAATATAAACCCCAAAGGCATGCCCCATCTCCTCTAGCCACACCCTACTTGCCTATAGTTACCATCCAGTTAACTCCTATCAAGGGATTAAAGCTCTGGTTAGGTTACACCTCTTATAACCCAATCATTTCACTTCTAAACTTTCTTGCATTGACTTATGCATGAACTTTGGGGGAAAACTCATGTCTTAAACATTCAGCCAAAAATTTGCTGGCATCAGATCTCTGTGTTACAGAGAGAAGTAGTGTATCAACCCCCAAACTTAGTTCTAAGTAGAAGTAATTTCCTGTTCAGAGCCAATAAGTCAAATTTTGTTTTGTAAGTGAGGAGAAAAAAAAAGTAATTTAATCTTTGTTCAAAATGTAAAACAAATGTAGATATTTTAATACAGTCTTTGTATATGTGTATGCATATATATATGTATATATGTACATGTATTTACTTATATAGGTGCATATGTGTTTAAAGTTTTAGATTTTATCCCTTGACTCTTAACTTCACTTTTTCCATCTAGAAAGTTTAGGGTAATACATTATAGGTTTGTTGTAATGATTAAGTGACAGGTATAAGTGAAAAGCTAGGACAGTGTCTAATATATAATTACCATATTATTTGATATTTTGACTAAACTAAGGATACAGGTACTCATGGGAGCAAATTATATCCACTTCCCTCCAACTCAAGATTCTATATCATGAGCTACCTTCCTTTTCTGATTACCCCTTATATAGCTTTGAATCATTTAGAAAATCAAGAGTGCATTTTGTTTGTCTAAACATTTTCCTGTTTTAAAAGTCTGGTGGTCTTTCTTCTTGTAGTTCGAAGGCAGTGAATCGCTATCCAGTGGAAACTTGTGTCAGAGGTCCCGGCCCAGTAGTGACCTAAACAACAGCACTCTTCAGTCCCCTGCTCACCTGAAGGTCCAGCGAAGCATCTCAGCAAATCAGAAGCAGCGGCGTTTTAGTGATCATGGTGGGGGAACAAGTAAAATAAGTGAAAACATGAGCTGGTCTTACCCACACTCATGTATTTTAAGTATTATATAGTCACATCTTCGTGGATTGTATCATGTAGTTCTCACAGATTTACATTATCGAATGATAATCAGGAACCCTTTTGCAGGAACTGATCAGATTCTTTAATTGAATAGTCTAATCTCTGTTCAGAGTATAAACCACAGATATTTTTGTTGTAGCGTTCTTGTTTGTGAGAAAATATGCCAGTTGTCTTTTTATCTAATTATGCTGTTTTGTTTTGTTTTGTGTTTATTACAGCTGGTCCATCCATTCCCCCTGCCGTATCATACACTAAAAGGCCTCAGGCTAACAGTGTAGAAAGTGAACAGAAAGAGGAGTGGGACAAAGATGTGGCTCGTAAACTTGGCAGCACCACAGTTGGATCAAAAAGCGAGATGACTGCAAGCCCACTTGTGGGTCCAGAGAGGAAAAAATCTTCAACTATTCCAAGCGTGAGTAAATATCCTGTTATATTGCAATTTGTTGAATGTATTTATTATCAGTTTTTTGTAAAATGTTTATCTTTTGTGTTTTGAAATATTTCAAAATGAATCATAATTTGAAAACTGTGGAAAGGGAGCCATGCTTCTCATAAATGCAAATTAAGAAAACAACTAGCTGGACACAGTGGCGAGCAACAGTAAACCAAGCAACTTGGGAGGCTGAGGTAGGAGGATGGTAAGTTCAAGGCCAATCTCAGCAATTTGTCGAGGTCTTAAGCAACGTAATAAGACCCTGCCTCAAAATAAAAAGGACTGAAAATGTGGCTCAATGGTAAAGCACCTCTGGGTTCAATTTCCAGTACCAATAGATAGATAGATGGATGGATGGATATAGATAGAACAATCAAAAGAATTCTTCATGTAACAGCCTTAGCACAAAATGGTACATTAACCTTCCTGCTTTGTTTTTCCTGTTTGTAATATTGTCTTAATCTTACATTGGTGCATTTAATCTTACATTTACAAATAAACTGTTCAATTGAAGCAGATTCAGTTAATGATTTATAAAGTTACCTCATGTTACTCACTGAAGCTGCATACTATAGAAATTATACAATGATAACTAGAAGACAGACTGAGATGCCCCCTTGTAAGGCAACAGGGAAGAATAAAGAGAAAATATAAAAGAACACTTAAGACTGGAGGGAGCATTTAGATAATAAGGGGGCTTTTTGGGAGTGGGTACAGGGGATTGAACTCAGGGACACTCGACCTCTGAGCCACATTCCCAGCCCTATTTTGTATTTTATTTAGAGACAGGGTCTCACTGAGTTGCTTAGCACCTCACTTCTGCTGAGGCTGGCTTTGAACTCAAGTTCCTTCTCTCTCATTCTCCTGAGCAGCACCGTTGGGATTACAGGTGTTTAAAAACTGCCAGTCTTTAGCTGCCCCAAAAGACTAAGATATGAACTCTCAGTAAAAAATAACTTTGAAATGAAGAAAGAAATTACTTCTTTCTGGGAGACTCAGAAAAATTGAGACTGCAATAGTGATTATAATATATTGTATGTAAAAGTTATGACAATTATGTAAAACATAAACTCTTTACTACAAAATAAACCCAAAGAAGTCTTTTACATGATTGGTTTCTGCCTTGGAGAAGTTACCAAATTGGAGTTCAAGGAAGGGTAGTTTCCAAGTGCCCCAAATTATCAACAGAAAAGTCTTCCCTGCTTAGCAGTCACTAGATAGAGCTTTGTTATTTGAAATAGGAAGGTCAACCTGTAAAAAAGTCAATTTTATATGGTACCTATTTCCGATGGAATCAGTGAGACTTTTTCTTCCCTTTGTTTTTAAATATTTTTTTAGTTGTTGATGGGTTTTCATTTTATTTATAGATATGTGGTGCTGAGAATCGAACCCAGTGCCTCACACATGCTAGGCAAGCGCTCTACCACTGAGCCACAACCCCAGCTCACAGTGAGACTTTTTCTATAACTTTTGCTAATTATATCCTAAGTTCCCCTGTGAATTGCAGCTTGGGCAGATTGGCTGCCACACTTGGGCATCACTGGCACCAGAGGCTCAAAGCAAGGGAGATAATAGAAGAGCAGGACTCATTAGCACTACTTGGAAGGAAATGCCATTTACCATCACACAATGAGAAGGAAAGACACATCATTGAGAACAGTCAGAAACATCTCAGAGACTTCCAAAGGATGGATGGCCACACAATTTGATGTTTATTCAAACTCAGATAACTCATAATGAGTTGCCAAAATAATAAAAATGTCAAAAGCTAATATTCTTACATTGATACTTTTGGTGCCCATGGTGTGACTGATGTAGCCTGTTAGTAACCTAGGTGCAGTTTTAATAATTTTTCATATTTGTCCTCTGTTTTCATTATTATTTCTAGGGTTTTTCCTCTAGATTTTAAGTTTTCAGGGAACTCTATACAATTTAACCTCCTCAATAGCTTGTAGAAGCAAAGTAGAAAATAATTTAAAAGGGCTGGGGATGTGGCTCAAGCGGTAGTGCGCTCGCTTGGCATGCTTGCGGCCCAGGTTCGATCTTCAGCACCACATACAAACAAAGATGTTGTGTCCACCGAAAAACTAAAAAATAAATATTAAAAAATTCTCTCTCTCTCTCTTTAAAAAAATAAGTAAATAAATAATTTAAAAGCTCAAAACCTAGAAATCTTTTGGTCAAAATAAAATATGGTTCATCTGCAAAGCTGCAGACTCTGAAGCCATAAAACTTTTTATCACTTAACATAGATAGAAATTAATGACCTATTAAATGAGAATGCAGTAATGAAATGACATGTTTCAGAATATGAAATGCAGATTGTATTTCTAGTTTTTTTAAGAGCTGTAATGCAAATTAGTTTCATAATGGATCTCTCTGTTTCTTTTTTTTTCTTTTGGTTAATATAGACAAAGTCTAAAAAAATTTTTAAGTAATCTTAGCTTCCTTTGCTAACATACTTTTATAGTTTTTAATTTATATTTTTTATCTAGTATGACAAAACTTATTCTGCCTAGGAACCTGCACTATTGAAAAGGTTTAAATCTGCACTTACACAAATTCTTGTCCTTCTCCCAACTGAATTCAAGCAGTTGTCTATGGACTTTCTAGCCCCCATTATTAAACAAATTTTATGTTAATGTGTATTTTAAAGAATAGTGAAAGGTAGATTATCTAAAAATAGGGAAGACTTTTTCTGTTGGAGTAAGAGTAAAACAAGACTTTTATCCCTTTTGAAAATCATTTTTGTATATTTTACTACTGGTAACTAATAGTCAAGGTTTTGGCAGGCATGACAATGGGGTTATAGGACAACAGTTATATATGTGGAGAATTATCCATCTGTCTATCTCTTTTTGCTTATTTTTTTTTTCTTCCTTTGTCTTGGCCTGCCTCCTGGCTAAAACCTGAGACCAAAGGAAATATCCTCAAAGTATGGCACTGACCCTCTCTGATGGCAGCCTCTGTGAAGAGTGCCTTTAATCTGGAGCTTTATTCTCCTTGCTGGTACCATTGGCTGGGGGTAGATGAGGCTGCAAGTGAAGGCATGGAAGGCATGCCATCTTTACTACACAGGTTCCTTGAGATTTAGTGGGGAGATAGCACTCCTAGTTACTTGGAGCTGCCTATACCAATACTCTGCCCTCTCCCCAACACCAGCTCACAAAAGAGGGAGTAAATGAAAACCCAGCCTTTTGTTGCTTCCAAATGACTGCTCACTGCTGCTGTAGGATTGCAGTTGTGATAAATTTGCTTTTAGCGCTTGGCCTTCTCTCCAAAAATCCAAATATGAGAGAGAAGAAGAGAGGGAGAGGAGATAGAGCATGTTAATATAAAATTCTGAGGAGTTACCACTCTAATATGAATTTTTTCAAATCCTTAGGAGATTAAATACATTTCTTTGACTTTCCACAAATATAGTTATAATTTTAAAATCACTTTTATTCCTTCTTAAAGAACAATGTGTATTCTGGAGGTAGCATGGCAAGAAGGAATACATACGTCTGTGAGAGGACCACAGATCGATACACAGCATTGCAGAATGGAAAGGACAGCAGGTAAGTGTCATAATGCCAAGTAGTAATATTTTTGTCACTTTTCATAGTGCTTTTGCTGAAGTACCCGTAAATAAACATATCAACAGGAAAGGAATACAAAATAGTAAGATTGTAACCAAGCATTCTTACTAAGACATCTCCCTTTTATAACAGGAAAATATTTAGGGAAAGCAGGAGATAAATCTCAAAACATATGAATTTCCAGATAATATATGATAGTAGATATTTCCCTGTAACAAAGCAGATTATCTGGTCCTAATCTGTTCCTCATAATTTGAATCTTATTCTCTTGGGCAGCTACTGCTCCCTTCTTCCCTCCTTCCCTTTCTCCCATCATTATTATCCAAAAATTAAGGGTTTACTTTACTTTACTTCATCTAAAGAAAATGTGGCCATCCCAACTGATTAGTCAAAACCATGAAATTCTTAGTGTTTTATGTAAAATATGATGAATTGTATTTTTATTGTTTTAAGAAATTAACTTCATTTATCATGAGTAGGAAGATTTCTTATTAAAGTAGCTCAAAAAGGTATGGAATCTTTTGCTACTTAAACTAAATTCTGTTTTTAGTTCTACCTCTAGTCATTTCAGTGGAGTGGACAGAAAAAATTCTCACATTTGTTTCTTCTCAATGAATAGGCATGTGAAGTAAGTGTTAATGTAAAACATGAAAAGAAATGTATCTTCTTTGGACATAAGATGCTTTAGGATAGACAGTTGGAAATAGATTAATGATTTATTATTTTTCCTATACTAAATACTAATGTACAGGCTCTAAGTCTACACAGTTAACCTGTTGATTCATGATATGAGCTAAAAGTATTTTGATGATATTTCCAGTGATAGTGGTTTTGGTATAATTAAGCCTTCTTTTATGAATAATTTAGTATAGTGTACCCCACAGCAACACATCACACAAAGTTGTAATTTAGAAGAAGTGAAAAACACCTTTAATCATAATCATTTTATCTAAAAGTATCACAACTACACAAAAATCATTTCATACTTTCTCAGGTTCACATATATAGAGTAAGAGTGTGTGAAATCTTTTCAGTAAAAGATAAATTCCCCCTATATACTTTTAACAAGAATATAGTTCCATTAGTTACTAATAATACCACTGTTAGTTTCTTTCAAGTGTTTCAGTCATGAAAAATGTTAGTCAATTTAGACTTTTCAAAACCTATTTTTAAATTTTAATAAAGTGCACTTTTTCTTTTTCTCCATTTCCATGGTCTTCTCAACCATTTCATGTTGAAAGCCTTACAGAGATGTCTGCAAGTAGCATATCTTCCACCGGCTCTGCTGTGGCCTCTGCTGTTGCCTCAGCCCGACCCCGACACCAGAAGTCTATGTCCACTTCTGGTCATCCTATTAAAGTCACACTGCCAACCATTAAAGATGGCTCTGAAGCTTACCGGCCTGGGTAATATCTTGATCACATTTTATCTTCTTTGTTGTTTTACAAAATATAGAGCCATTTGAAAATATATTATAGTCACCATCACAGGACAGTTTTCTGGAAAGACTGTCTATGGTGGAGGAAAAGTGTAATTGTAATATGCTTACTATGTACTTTAGCTATTATCAGAAATGTTGCTATATAATTTAAATCATTTTCTAGAGGAATTTTCTTAAAAGTACTTTATTTTAAACCCATCCATGAAGTAAAATAATGCTGCCTAATTTATCATTTAAGTAAATTGAGTTTTTTGCTATTTAAACACTGCCCCCCATTTCCCTGCTGCCCCCCTCCAAAAAAAACAATTAGATAAAGAGTAATAACTAGCTCCTACCAGTTACTTGCTCTTTTTTTTTTTAATTGTAGTTGGACACAATATCTTTATTTTTTTTTTTTATTAATGTGGTGCTGAGAATTGAACCCAGTGCCTCATACATGCTAGCAAGCACTCTACCACTGAGCCACAACCCCAGCCCTTACTTACTCTTGTGTTAATGAAACAAATTAACTCAGAGAGCTGTCAGGTATAAACTAAATTAAAATTAAGTGTCTGTTTTTCTAGTTTTTATCTGTTTTAGAATTTCTCAAATTCAGAACACCTGAATATTTTAACCCTTTGGTAATTAGGTTTTGTTAGTCATGCTGATAGTGCCATATAGCATTATGCTATCACTTACACCTACATTAGAAATAGGAAATGATTTTGTTCAAAGGCTTTTTAATAAACAATAAAATTCATGTTCTACATTTACAAATAGATTAAGAATACAAACTGAGTATTCCTTATCTGAAATTCTTGGGACCAGAAGAGTTTTGGATATTGGATTTCAGATTTTTAGATCACAAAGTTTAAATATATATATATATATATGTATACACACACACACATACATACATACACACACACACACATATACATATACATACATACATACATACGTATGTAAATGCAGAACCCTGGTTGGGCATTCCTGATACAAAAAGGCATTTGTCTTTGTGTTTCAGTAGTTTTCATTTTATAAATGTGTTGATTTCACTCTGCAAAGCCATAGTAAATACAGTTAACCCATTTATCACATCTCAACAGTGAATACATAAAATTGAGCAAAAAGAAGTAGCCATAGCCATTTTTATTTTTTCAGTTTTTAGCTAAGTAAAAGCATTCCCTGTCATTATTCTGAATAATACATCTTAATTTGTTCCAACAGTACAACCCAAAGAGTGCCTGCTGCTTCCCCATCTGCTCACAGTATTAGTGCCACCACTCCAGACCGGACCCGCTTTCCCCGAGGGAGTTCAAGCCGAAGCACTTTCCATGGGGAGCAGCTCCGGGAGCGTCGCAGTGCTGCTTATAATGGGCCACCTGCTTCGCCATCCCATGAAACGGGTGCATTTGCACATGCCAGAAGGGGAACGTCCACTGGTATAATAAGCAAAATCACATCCAAATTCGTTCGCAGGTCAGTACCAATGTACTGTCATGTTTTGTTTCCCCTAGGAATCATGAATAAACTTGGTTTTTTCATTGATCTTTTCAGTAAATTTTTTTTTCCAGAATGGTTTTATGACATTTCATTAGAGCTGCTCTTTTATAGAAGTTGGAAGAAAAACTTCAGGAAGACATAAAGGCTTTTTCCTTAAGAAAGAAAAAGAAAAGATGGACAAAATGAGGATTTAAAACTTCTATCAAATAGGGTAGAAAAATCAAAAACTTGAGATTGAAAATGTACATTTTAACATAAGAGTCTTTCTTATTTAAAAGGCTTCAATTTAGAAAAAGGAATTAATTGTGAGCTGATGTGTATCCTTCAAATAATATTTTTTATCTTAAAAATACTTTTTTTTAACTCTTTTTTTTTTTTTTTTGGTGATTATGAGGATTGAACTCAGGGCCTCACACATGCAAGGCAAGTGCTTTACCACTGAGCCACATCCCCAACCCTTAAAAATACTTTTCAGTTGCTCACTAATATATGTAGTTTATCTTTTTTTTTTATAAAAATACTAAATACTGGAATCACAAATTTCTTATGTAATTTAACCTCATAAAATCTTAACATCACATCAAAATATAGTAAACACAAAATAAATGCATGCATAATAAAATAGTACAGTTAAACTTTTTTTTCAAAAAGCAAGCATATGTGTACAATGCACACCAATTATACAGGTTGCTGAACATATACAGGCCGATATAAATTTGACCATTACCATTACCACTAAATGCCTACTTAGGCTCATTATGTATAAAGCACTGTGCTAGGTACAGAGCAGGATTTAAAGATAATTGTGATGACATCTTTTTTTCTCCATACACTTAAGTCTTGGAAGAAGCAGACATGTAAACAACTAGTCATGATATGAAGCAGAATGTGGGATAGAAAAAGTATGTACAAGGTGCTAAAAGAGTACAGAGGAAGGCACCATTGTTTCTGTCTAGGGGCTCCTTCAATATAGATAATTCAACTGTTCGTTAAATAATAGGTATGAAATTATTATACTTCCTTTAAAGGATATTAATTTTCAATGTTGTTAGTGTTCCTAGGATTTCAGAGTGGGTGTGGGAAAGAGAAGAATCATCTTGAGTCTCCTACCTTGTTGTGGAGCTATTTATTGGACTCAGCTCATAGATCCACTTGCCCAGGATCACACAGTTGAATTTAAAACTTTAAGTCCTCAAATGCATCACAATTTCTGACTATATCAGTCAATTATTTTATGCTATTTGGGCAATTACTATGCAGCATAGTAATTTTTTTCTCTTTGCTAGAGAAAGACCGAGGCTTAGGACAGAGTCAGCAGGAAAGTTAGAGGACAATGTTAACTGCTTTTGGAATATAACTGACTACTTAAGCTATTTTTAGAAGCCAGAACCTTCTCATGGTTAAACCTGGATTGATTTTAAAGTATAGAAAAAAATAGTTTTTTTTTTTTTTAGTTTAATGCTTAATTGCTATTAAGCATTGTTCAAAACATTTCTCTTTACCTTGCAAGAAAAATTTTAGATTCTGGATAAAATGTAATGGAAAGTACTATGGACAAGAAGTCAGGTGACAGAATATCAAGAAAGTGCCTTAGGAGAAGGTCTGTTGGGGGTTTCAGAAAAAGGATTGCCATATTGTTATTTAACACATATTTGAAAATCTACCATGTGCTAGGCACTTTATTAGGTGCAGTTAGTACAGCACTTAGGAGACAAGTATGTCTCTGCCTTCCTGTAAGCAGCTTACTTTCTGCAACATTCCACACAGTTGAAACATTTTCCTCACTTGGCTCTAATTTTCTTCTATCTCAGAAACTAACTCTCCCTCTCAGGCTCCTTTGCTGGCTCTTTTCATATTTCAGACCTCCTCTTTCATTCTTCCCCTTGCTAGTTGCATACCTGCCATGTAGGACCCTGTCTATCCTTGGGCACCACAGGCATACCTGATCCAGGAGTTAATACTCGCTATTCATTCTGCCTGGAAACCTCTGCCCCCAATATCCACATGGCTTGCTTTTTCTGCACCAAACTTTGTGATTTTCTAACCATAGCTCATTCTTATACAGGGTTCTGTTCAGTTGTGTATATGTTGCCATGTATAAGGTAATTGTTTTTTAAGTTTTAGGTGTTGGAGAGTCATACTATGCTGCGTGTGATCTTACAGCCAGCCACATCTTCTGTATCACTGTCTGCCTTCCACCAGGGCTACTTAGAGCAGACTCCCTGGGCTGTGTGAAACAGTTGCCAAGTAGCAAAAGTTCTTCCAGTGTTCCTACTGGCAAGTAGGCAGGACAGGATAGGAGCCAATTGCTACTTCGACTCATGATAACAGAGGAAGTAGGGTCTAAAGGAAATTTCATTCCTAATGCTTAAAGTTTAGCCACAGTAGGGTAAGTGTCTTAAGAGTGAATTAAAATGCAAAACATTCAGAAAAGTCCATTGATACCTGTGTCCCTTTTAGTAAAGTCATTTTGTCTTCACCTCAGAGATCAACAGCATTACGTATTTGCCAAATTAGAGCACTACACTTCTTTGTAGTATATCAGTACATCTATATGTAACTGAAAATGTACTTTTCATTTTCAGCATGCCCAGAATTCTTTTATTTCAGTTTGTTATAATGACAATAGATTTGTAGAAATGGTATTGGATTTTTTTCTATTATTATTATTATTATTATTTGTTCTACTTAGTTGCACATGACAGCAGAATTGCATTTGAATTCATCGTGCACAAATGGATTGCTACACTTCAGTTCTCTGGTCATACTTATGTAGAGATGCACCATTTGTGCAATCATAAATGTACCTAGGGTAATGATGTCCATCTCATTCCACCATCTTTCCTACTCCCATAACCTCTCTCCTCCCTCCCCTTTGCCCAATCCAAAATTCCTCCATTCTTCCCATGGGTATTGGATTTTTATTAAACTTTCCAATGAAAATACTAGTTATTTAAAATAGAAATAGAAGAAATTTTTTAATGTGAGAATACAGTTTATTATTCTTTTCAGTTCTGACAGAAAAATGTTTTTTATGCAATATGTTTGTCAAGAAAAGCCTTAAGGTCCTTCAAAGTATGAGATACTCATATTTCTAATAACCATTTCAGCAGAGCTGGTTTTAATTTAGGGAATGGGAGAGTGGCACTGATTTTGTTCCTGTTGCTTCACTTTTCATAAATAATGTCAATGTGTCTGGAATGGTTAAAACATTAAGACAACCTTAACTTACAGGTTCAAGTTGATGAGCTTTCCCAGCTACTTCAGAGTACTTTGCTCTCTATCACAGGCCATCTCTTAATATTTTTGAACTGGTTTGTAACTTGATACTCCTATGTAGATATTGAATTACTTTTGAAAATGACAAAATGGTCTAAATTTGGGAGATTTCAGAAATATTAATAACCTTCTACATAAGGACAATTAGTAGTGTTTTCCTGGTTTTATTTCACAAATGGATATTCAGGTAAGATCAGTGTTTTTGTTTAAGGTTGAATCCCTGTTTTTAGACTCACTTGTTTCAATAGGCTATTGACTTGCTGTGCATGAATTGTTAATATAACTTGTGAAGTTGATTGCTTATTTAAAATTGGTATTTGTTTTTAGAAATATATGTTTACTAACTGCAAAGCTAATTCTTTTTCTCAATTGAGCGACTACTAGAATTGTATGTAATAAAAAATATGAAGTTAAATCTTTCTACTAGTAATTATTAAATAGTCTTACCTTTAGATTTTGCTAAACTAAAAGATAAATTATGATTAAAATTATGTCTCAGAATTGGAAGATCATGTTAAAACAAAACAAAAAAAACCTCCTAAGCTCTTAAGCTTTCACCTAGTATCTCCTCTTGGAACAATACCCAGTAGACGCTCAATAAATGATGGCAACATGCAATTATAATGAAAAATGTGAGCAACAGCATTAGACTGCCTCATAATAGAAAACTGTTATGATAGAAGTTTGCTCAACAAGTTAATTTTAAAATAATTTTAGATATAGGATTTCTGATATATTTCTCAATTTTATCATTAAATCTCAACCTTCACTTTGTTTTGAGGGATCCAAGTGAAGGCGAAGCCAGTGGCAGAACCGACACCTCAAGGTGAGGAGCCACTATTAATACTTCGCTGCTAGGTCCCTGTGAATGGAAGCGGATATTCGAAATACTTTCAGCATTTAATAATCATGAATAGAACTAATAAATAGATAGTATGTATATTGTAAATTTTTATATTGGGGTGGGTTTTCCTAATGTTGCCTAGCATTTAATTAAGTTAAATCAATTTTAAGTTTGTGTTTTCCAGAAATTGTTTTGAATTGTATACTTTGTGAAGAAATAGCCTTTTATCCTATCAGATATTTCTTGGCAGAAAAATTAATAGGTTAAAAGGAACTGCTTTTTTTCTCTATTATGGTGTAACTAAATTAGCCTAAGTCAAATCACACAAATACCAGTATATTGGTAATATGTAGGAAGATTTGATATTAATGTGTATTTTAGGTGAGTGCTCAGTTTTAGGCCACATTTTAAAACTCTCTCCTGCCAAACTTTATGGGGGTTTTGACCTTTAATACTACTTGGATGTCCATTTTGGCAATGGGTCTCAAACTTGAGCACAGTCAGAATTATAGGGAGGATTTGATGGGGGTTTTTTTGTTGTTTTTTTTTTTTTTTTTTTTAATGTGTTGACCCTATGCCCAGGGTTTCTGATTCAGTGAAAGGTAAGGGATATCTGAGCATTTGCATTTCAAACAAATTTCCAGGCCTTGTGGATGGTGGTCTGAGAATCACATTACAGATAAGTTAGTCTGTATATTCATATTTAATAAGTGAAAATTTTGAAAAATTAAGGCATTAAGTTATTTTGAGAATACACAAACATTATGGAATACAGAATAACTCTCAAAGCTGGCTTTATTTAGAAATAATTTTGAGCAGCTCAACATGGGCCTCTGATTTAATTTTGACTTTTGTTCAAAGCATTTGAAATATGAAACATAATGAGCTTTAGAAAAACTTAATGTTTACCATGCAGTATTCTTTACAAACTGTGCTGTATTTATGTTTAGTAATAATCATTGACCTGCTTCTTTGTAGAGGTAGGTACCTGAGTCTCCATGGTAGGGAGCAAAATCAATATTTTTAACTTTTTTCTACCTATTAAATAAACATGGAGTACTTTTGTTTTCAGCCCCTTGCTCGCATCTCATACCACATTTTTATTAAGTTTTTCATCAAGACATTGAGTAGTGTGTGGTGTCACAAGTGGCTACTAATAATATTGTAATTAATCTACATGCACTTTTATCATTTTAGTATGACTGCTGATTTAACATAAGAATTTAACAACTAATCTTTTATACATGTTTGTTTACAAAGCCCTTTTCACATTTCCTTTTCTTTATTATTATTGGGTTTTGTTTTAATATTTTTGAAGAAATATTCAATTGAATACCTACTACCTATAAAGTGCTTGCTGGTCATTTAACCCTCACAACAACCAGGTTAAAAATACCCTTTTTACAAATGAGGAAATAGCAAGGTCATAGGCGGGACTCCCTCAGTCCTAATGAGGCTCCTTCATTTCAGAGAGATGGTGTGGTACCGTAACTAGAAGCACAGGCTCTTGAGCTAGGCCATGAAGGTTTGAGCTGTGTTCTACAATTGACCTATTTGTGTGACTTTGGAGAAGTTACTCTAGTGCTTCATGCCTCTATCTCCTCATCCTGACTGCCTCATAGGATTGTTTTGAGGCATAAATTAGTGAATAACATGGCAGACACATAGAACAGCTCCTACACCTACAAAGTCCTCAATAAATGTTAGCTGTTGTTCTGAGCACTATCATCAGTGATAATGCCTGTAAGACACAAGCAGAAAAATAACTTGTATCTGTCTGTTGTTCCTAAGGTCACCATATCATCATCTGGAGGAATAAGACATCTAATTTTTACTCTTCAGCTTTCAACTCAGTAGTTCTATGACCTTAGAAAATTATGTTTTCTAGGCATCAGTTGTGTTTTTAAAATGAGTGCCCAATGAAGCGATCTGGCAGGCCCCTTCCATTTCTAGTACAGTGAGTCCACCACTGGAATTAGGCATGTGATGCTAATAGAGGACTCTGGTTGGCTCTGCCAATCCAAAGAGGCTATGATGCAATGGCTTAGATTCAGTAAGCAAAGAAAGGGAGGTAGAGATGTGAAAGAAATACTTTCCATGCCTATTTAACAGTACTTGGAAATTTATTTATTTTCTCTACCTTTTTCCTTATTTTCTCAAGTTTGCATAGTTAGCAAAATTTGGGGACTCAAATATATAGAAATGAGAGGCACAATGTATATGTGTATATAAATAATTGTATAAAGGGGATATATACGTATATATCAGTATTGATATAAATAGAAAATATTTATATAGTAGATTATGAACTTATTTCAAAGTATGCAGTTTTTTCCTTAAATCACAGATTAGTGAGATAGGTTAACAAGTTAAAGTTGTAACATTTGTCTGTATTTGGATAATTGATAAATTACTTGGTATTAATGAACAGTCTACTAGTTTTACTTCCCTATGGTTGTTTGAAATAGATTTTTCTGGTTCTATGTTATTTGTGAGGTACCTCCATAAACAGAATTCAGTGAGGTAGATTAATGTAACAAATATGTCTTAATTACATACCAGCATAGTTCTAGGTGCCTGAGGTATGTCAGTGAATGAAATAAACAAAATTCCTGGCCCTCTTGGAGTTTACAATCTAGTGGTAGATTTAAATGTATGTTAACCTAATTAATGGGTTAAATAGTATATTTGAATGTGACAAGCATTGTAGAGAAAATAGAGTAGGATAGGGGGGTTTGTCATGCCGGAGTCAGGGTATAGTAAGATTTGGAAAATGTAAGGGAATTAGCCATGCAGCCATCTGGGGAACTGTGTAAAAACCTGGAGACAAGAAGATACCCAGTGTGTTCAAAGAATAGCATGGAGACAAAATGGCCTGATTAAAGTGAGCAAGGTGGAGATAATAAGAGGTGAGGGGGTGGGCCCTGTGTAGTGGCTCACACTTATAATCTCAGTGACTCAGGAGGCTTGGGATGGAGGATTATAAGTTTGAGGCTAGTCTCGGGCACTTGGTGGGACCCTGTCTCAAAATAAAAAATAAAAAGGCTGCAGCTCAGTGGAAGTATGCCCCCTGGGTTCAATCCTCAAGAGAAAGAAAGAGAGAAGAAAATAAAAGCAGTCTTGTAGATGATTTGAAGGTTGTCTTTAGTGAAATGGGAAAACATTGGAGAATTTCAAGAAGTATACTATGTGACATCTTTACATAATTACAATACACAATACAACATTCTTTCTCAGCATTACCAGGTGTAAATAATTCTCTTTTCCTCTGTAGTCATTACATTCCTCCTACTCAAAAAAGACAGAAAAAGAGGACATTTTTCTTTATATTTCAAAAATATGTGTTTACAAGCAGAATGGTGCCTGCTAGCGGTTCCTGGTGTGTGTGTGTGTGTGTGTGTGTGTGTAAGAAGATAGAGAATCTATTTTTGCAAACTTGAACAGAGAAATGTGGAAGAAAACTGAAAAAAAACAGTTCTTCATTTTAAGCTGCAAATTTGTTTCCCAAAAACAAATGTATTTAAGAAAATGTGCTATGTTAGATGAGTGATGCTGAAAGTCAAAACAGATGACATCCACAGGTCTGCTGTAGTAGTAGCGAGATAACATGAATCTTTCTATCTACCTACAAGTTGAATAGCTTTATTAGGCACTAAGTTGTGATCACTCATATTTTTATCTATGTATTGATTTCTTTGCTGAATGGAATTCTGTTTTCATTCTTTCCCTTTGCCCTCTGCTTCCAGAAGTACGTCAGGGGAAGCAAAAGAAAGAGACAAGGAAGAGGGTAAAGATTCCAAGCCGCGTTCTTTGCGGTTCACATGGAGTATGAAGACCACTAGTTCAATGGACCCTAATGACATGATGAGAGAAATCCGAAAAGTGTTAGATGCAAATAACTGTGATTATGAACAAAAAGAGAGGTTTTTGCTTTTCTGTGTCCATGGAGATGCTAGACAGGATAGCCTCGTGCAGTGGGAGATGGAAGTCTGCAAACTGCCACGTCTGTCACTTAATGGGGTTCGTTTCAAGCGAATATCTGGGACTTCTATTGCCTTCAAGAACATTGCATCCAAAATAGCAAATGAGCTTAAGCTGTAAAGAAATCCAAATTTACAGGATCAGGGAAGATACATTCATTAATGAGGTACAGTTTTTGAATGTACTGGTAATGCCTAATGTGGTCCACCTGTGAATCTCCCCATGTAGAATTTGCCCTTAATGCAATAAGGTTATACATAGTTATGAACTGTAAAATTAAAGTCAGTATGAACTATAATAAATCTGTAGCTTAAAAAGTAGGTTCACATGTACAGGTAAGTATATTGTGTATTTCTGTTCATTTTTTGTTCATAGAGTTGTATAATAAAATATGATTGCTTAAAAACTTGTATAGTTGTCTAGATTTCTGCACATAAATGTACATTTGATGCTTTGAGTTGAAAATGTTTTTTCCCTGTTATTTACATTTTGGTGGGTTTTTTAAATTCTTACCTCCGTCATGCAATTTTGAAAATTGTGTCCAGGATTAAAAGTGCACAAAAGTAGTCTTTACAATTGTAGCATGGACTTTTAAAAATTATTTTAAAATCATATTGAAAATTAAATCAGAAGCTGATCAGCTTTATTATACACAGAATTATTCCTGTTTATCTTTGCTCTTAGCCTTGTTATCAAACAAGGTTTAGTTAAGAAGATACGAAATGTTTACAGTGTCAGCACTTAGAGTTTTTAAAATAAAGTACGTGAAAATAAATAATAGCTTTGGCTTGAGCTAGGAAGTACTGGGGAAAATTAAATCTATTCCAAGTTTCTTTTGAACTTTGAAGTGTTTTCTGTCCCACTGCTAATTATAGCAGCAAAATTGAAATGAATCAATACTTCAACTGACTATTATAATGTAAACTGTCACTTAGGTCAGCTGCCTTCAGAATACTGCAATATAATTGCAGAAATGTAATAATATTGGGACTGTTTCATAGCACAAACTCGTCTTTACAGTGTTGATCAATGCATCAGTTAAGAAATAATGCCACCTCAGGAATTAACTGGCATTGGGAACATTCGCTTCATTCTCCTCCCATCCTCTTCATCCACCATGCACCCCTGCCTCTATAATCTCTGTAAGTACTTAAAAGACTTGTGAGCAAAACATACTATTTATGACAGTTTATCAATGATTTACGCTTATGTGGCTGTTCAGTTTGTTCCCACGTAACCCATTTGATTTCAGTATTTTGCCAGATTTCTTGTATTTATTCTTCTTCATTATGCCTATAATGTGCAGCTTTGTAATTGGCATTTGCCTACTTTTCTTTCATAATTAGTGATGTATACAATGTAAAACCACTAGTAAAGGTACCTTTTAATACTTGTTATTTTATATTGAATTAGCCTTGGAGGTTGACTGTGCAATGTTATTTAATGTTGTAATTACTGTAATATCAACATATGGGCCCCATCTGCACACTCTTGAGAAATAGAAAGTGTATTCAGATTTTATCAAAGAGAAATAAAGCTGTGATAAATGCTGTATTTCTAACCTACACTGGAAAGCTCTAAGTGTAGGTGATGTGCCATTCCGTAATGGCTTCCAGACGAAGATGAATTTTACATTCTGTACTGTACTGTGATGTAGCTTTCTTCTGTAATAGTTCTGTTCAAAAATGAAGTGTATTTTTGCCTTAGAAAAGGGTGATGTTTGAAAAAGCAAAACAAAACTGTGTAGCCCCTTTATACTCCAGTGTCCTTCAGAACGAGCGATGCAGTCCTTTCTTCACTTTCACTGGTGCACACTGAAATTTTACTTGAACAGTTCTCATAATAAAGCACTTGTCTTTGGCTCTTTATCAGAATGTGAATTCCCTGTTTACTAGGACAAAAATATTCTGTAGGGGGAGTTTATTTGATGTGTTCTAAATTTACTTGGCAAGGAGTAAAATTATGTAGGTTTTCAAGATGTCATTATGAGAAGGATTTAATTTTTTTAATAAGAATTCCTTTCATTGAAATACTTTTCAAAAAATAGATAGACCTCAGGCATTTTCCATCAGGCAGAAACTGACATTTTTTACATTTTCTCACTCAGGCCAACTCTTATGTTTTGTGAAAGGAAATTTTACTTCACTATTGTTTGAACTAAAAATGAAATCTTGATATTTACTTTAGATTTCCATTTTATGTGTTCATAATAACATAAATAATTTTTGAAGACTTAGAGGAATTTTGAATGTTTTCATTATAAATACCAGTGTGTATTAACTGACTATGTGATACCAGGATTTTCTTGGCTTCTATGGAACTACTATTTGATATGACATCCCTTATGTTAAATTAATTATTTTGTAGAAACTGAGGGCACAGTATTTTATTTGTTAAATAAAAATAATAAGATGAAATATACTCCAGAACATTGACCCAATAATATTCTATAAAATAGAATTTGATTTTAAATTCAAAAGGCTTTATTATGAGGTGCTTTTCATCGGAACTACCATTGCACATGTGAACAACAAATGCAACATGATAAGTTAGGTGCCAATTTATTGTTAGAAATTCTGTCACCCTGTGTAAAACTAATCAAGATCTCTGCCTTCATTTTTAAAATCTCTATTTAAGATGTGTAAAGGAATTGTAAGAAAAAGTTCTTACCTCTCCAAGATTTTCATCCATTTGAGAAGACAAAATGTAAATGTACACAACCGAAAAAAAAAAAAACCCACTCAAATAGAGAACTATGAAAGTGCTGAGACAAACACAGACAACAGGTGCTATGGAAATTCAGAAAAGAGTAGGGTCTGTATGGATACCAGAAAGGAAAGCCTTTTCAGAGTTAGAATGGAAAAGACCCTACAGATGGAAGACACATGCAAGAAAAGGTTCGAAGGTAGTGAGAGTTTTCAGACACATGTTAGAAATGAACTACATATTCTGGGTGGCAGCAGGCTTCTCATGGGTCGATTAACAGATCATACAAAGCAACGATTTGTAGCCTCATTCAACTTCACTAACTTGATATATGGTTAGCGGGGAGCAATGAGATTTGCTAGATTTTCTAATACATCATTGTTAAAGAAGAGTAATTCGTTAATTCAGCAAGGTGTTGTTTGTTTTTTTAAGTATGAACATATATATCAGATTCTAAGTTCTGAGGAAATAGTAGGTTTTTTAAAAAATCTATAACAGATTTATATGCTGGGTTGAAGACAAGCCAAGAAGATCTTTTCAGAGGTTATTAGCAGTAAAATATCTATAAAATAGCATAGATGAATGGCCAACCCAAGGTTGAAAAATGTAGAGAAGGATATATTTGAGAGGTATTTCAGCAGATCTGCCAACAAGATATTAGAAGTAGGATTTGTGGATTATAAAAAAAAATGAGTGGATAGCAGAAGCAGCTTCCTGGTGTGATTCAGGTTTTCAACTTGTGTATCAAAACTTCTAAACCTAACCCTAGCTTGCATGAGGCCCCAGGTTCAATTCCAAGTAGTACCACCAAAAAAGCTATTTTTATCTAACAAGGAGTAGTACACTTACCCTCCTACAATGAATAGACAAAATACATGAAATAACAATTTCATACAGTGTTGTCATCAAAACAAAAAAATGTTTTCCAGACGTTGGATATCAGCCCACAAAGGACAATAATCCATAAATGGAAGGAAGTGAAAGGAGGCTTACTTTTGACCCAACTCTCTACCCTGAGAGGATTTTCAATCTGTGGCACAGAAAATGAGGGACCTGTGTGGAATCTGTATCCTCCATATTTAAGAAATCAGAACTGAGACCAGAGAGGCTAAGACAATGCGCAGGGCAGAGAACTGGAGCTGTACGAAAAGCTCCAGAAATCTGCAGAGATGGGCACATGCGTGTGAAGAAACTATCTGAAGCCAGAGAAAGAGCCACCTGAAAGTATTAGAAGGAAAAATCATGTCTCATGCAAGAGTGCATATACTCTAGCCGGCCATGGTAGAAAGCTTCGTAATTCATGGAGCAGTGAGTATAGTGTTGATAAATTTGCCTCAGTAGTAGTGGGAATAACTATTCCTTGGGTCCTGCTTAACAATGCTATATCTACGAGGATAAATGTCTCTAATAGTTTCAGAACAAAGCTCAAGAATATGTACAGGAACACAAAATGCATATCATCCAATGAGTAACTAACCTTCACCATATCTAGCATCCCAAGATTATCCTGCATGCAGATGTGAAAAAAAGTACAATCTAGAATGAGGAGTGGGGCAAAAACATCCATGAACACTGACCCAGAAATGGAAGAGGTGGTAGAATTAGTAGACACGGACATTAAAACAAGAGGTTAGAGGAAAATTGAAGGGAAATACAGAAGTGAGTGGTATAAAAAACAATTCAGATGTCTAGAAATGAAAATTACCATTTCCGAGAACACACTGGATGGAATTAGCAAATTAAACATTGTAGAAGAAAAGATAGTGGACTTGAAGACGGAATGGAAACTATCCAAAATGAAACCAGAAAAATAGTGTATCAGGGAAGAATAGGGTGGCAAAACAACCAACCATTTGAAGATGTAATAGCCATAATTGTTCAACATGTGCTAGAACATAAGCCTGCAGACCCAAAATGTTTAATAAACACCAATGGAGAACACAAGTTTTCATATCACAAGTTACCTTAAAACTAGTGATTGAAATAAAACAGGCCTACACCACAGGATGAGGGGATTCATTGCAGAACAAAGAACAAAGATAAGAATAACAAATTCTTGTCAGATACAGTGCAAACCAGAAAACAATGGAAGAAAATAAAAGTAGGATTATATACCCAATAAAATATCTTTCCAATATAAAGGTGTTTTGTATGTGCAAAACACAAAAGTATGAGAGATAATGTATACGCTAAATAGTTTGTTTGATTTGGCCCATTCCATAATGCATACATACATTATATACTGTATCAAAATGTTGATAAAATGTAAAAATTTTATATAAAAGTATACAGTGTTGTAAGTTATACATTTATAAAAGAATTTATCAATAGTAGACATGTACTACAAGAAATGTTAAAGGAAATCCTTCAAGCAAAAGGAAAAATACACTGGATGGAAATCTGCATCTACTCAAAAGAAAAAAGAATACCCTAAATACCAACTATATTAAGAGTAAAAACAGTAACAATGTATTGAGGATACACAACATGTAAAATTAAAACTTAGGATAATATAGCACAAAAGCCTGAATGTTTTTCGCAAAGCTTTTATATATATATATATAGTTTAGTACCACTTTAAAATGGGTTATAAATTAAAGTTGTATACTGTATACCACCAAAAATACATAAATTACAGCTAATAAGTCAACAAAGGAGATAGATTTTAGCATTCTTGGGATTACATTGATCTAAAAAGTTCCTTTAAGCTAAGGAAACAATCAGCCAAGTGAGATAGACCAAGGAATGGATCTCTTTGCAAACTATATACCTGATAAGGAGTTATATATAAAATATGTAAGGAACACATCTCTAAGAAAACAACCCAATTTAAAAATGAGCAAGGGACCTGAATAGATAATGTATACGCTCACAAATGAAGACATCTGGATGTCAACAGGCATCTGAAAAAAATGCTCAAAATCACTAATCATCATGGAAATGCAATTCAAACCACAATCGCATCTCATAATCTTCCTTTTTAATATTTTTTTAGTTGTTGATGGACCCTTTTTTAAGATTCTTATGTGTTGCTGAGAATTGAACCCAGTGCCTCACACATGCGAGGTGAGCATTCTCCCCAGTCCTCAAAACCTTTTTATCAAAAAACAAAAGGTAAGTGTTGGTGAGTACGTAGAGATGAGGGAATCCTTGTACACATTTGGTGGGAAAGTGGAACTATATGATCCAGCAGTCCCACTTCTGAGTGTATATCCAAAGGTTATAATGTCAGAATGTCAAAGAAATATCTGCACTCCCAGAAAGATCAGTAAAGGGGAAGAAGCACAGGGAAGGGGAGAGAAGGTACTGGGACTGACATAATTTTATAATTATGTCAAAATGGATTCTACTGTCGTGTATAACTAAAAAAAAAAATTAAAAAAATACCTGCATTTCCGCATTCATTGCAGCATTATTTACAATAACTAAAGTATGGAGTCAACTTAAGTGTACATCAAGAGATGAACAACTACCAAATGTGTGGTCTATTCATACAATGGAGTACTATTCTGCCTTTAAAAAAGAAGGAAATTCTGTGATTTGTGATGACATGAATGAACCTGTATATTAAGTGAAATGTACTAGACACAGACAAACACAGCTTGATCTCACTAATTTATGGAATCTAAAAGTAAAACTCAGAGTAAAATAATGGTAATTAGAACCTTGGAGTTGAATTGAGAAAATATTGGTGAAAGAACAGAAAATTAGTTAGAATGAATAAATTCAAGAGATCTATTGTACATCATGGTTATCATGTTGCCTGTATGTAATAACCATATGTTGTACAATTAAACAGCGCTAAGAGTAGATTTTAAGTGTTCTCACTACACATACACCAAAAAAAAAAAAAAAGTATGAGAGATAATGTATACACTAAATAGTTTGATTTGGCTCATCCCATAATGCATACATACATTATATAACATGTATCAAAATGTTGATAAAATGTAAAGATTTTATTTTTAAAAAGTATTCAGTGTTGTAAATTATACATTGATAAATTTTACTTGCCAGTGTGTGAATGTATAAAATTTTACTTGTCAATTAAAAAATTTTAAAAATTGGAACAATTATCCTCAAGACATAAGAAAAAAAGGCCAAAAAAAAGTGAGGGTGGTGGGGTGGGGACGGACAAAAGAACAGATCAGAAAACATAACA